ATCGAGATACCGTTAAATCAAAATTTTGAATACAAGAAATTTAATCTTGACAACCTGCATTACAAATGCTAATAAAAAAAATAAAGAAAATTGATTATAAATTATGATGTTATAGTAGCATCCAATTTTTAGCCCGCATACATTCTCACAATGTTATATAACTGTTTATTTGCACGTACATGAATTAACAATACGTTATTATAACATATTATCATACATTATATATAATAATATATTAAATTATTAATCGTGCGTTATTACGATGCAATTTATCTTATAAAAATTAGAATGGCCAAAAAGAGCAAGAATCATCTATCAACGAAGCAGAAGCATGTATTACTGCATATACATAATAATAAGTCAACTATTCATATCTGGTTTAGAGTAACAATTAGATTCCTATAATCTATGATTTGAGTTGGGCTACAATACAGAAAACATTTATTATTGTTTCTTTAATTTCATTATAACCCCCGATATGGGTTTTTTCAAAAACAGCAAATCTCGGAATCAATGACTCTTATTTGATCGGTTAATTAAATGAAAAAAAAAAGAATACTTATTTAAAGACGTGGTTTTTCTTTCATCTTAAAATTATCTCATTACAAATGAGTAAGTTTCCAATGAGTCACAGAGTCATTCATTATATTGAGATTCAATAAAATTTGTTCCGATAGCAATATCTGCCACTAATTAAATTTGTTTCTAATAACCAACTTTCTTTTATTTATTATTTTTTATTCAAGGTCTCTGTAATATTACGTATGGTAAATGTAGGAATCCAATAAAAACAACATGTAGTAAGAATTGTGGAAAATGCGATTTGCATTGCAAATGTGGTAAATAAAAATTTTCTTTTTTTCTTATTATCTGGCTGGGAAAACTGTCTCATACAAATGATATTCAATAAAATTTGTTCTGATAGCAATATCGGCTAGTAATTACATTTGTTTCTATTAACAAACTTTCTTTTATTTGTTATTTTTTACTCAAGATAACTGTAATGCTCCCGGTTGGGATATAAATGAGAACGAATTTGCATGTGAGAAGAAATCAACTTGTCTTAATAGAAATTGTTTAAAATGCGAATCTCATTGTGCATGCCCTCGTCCTGGTAAATAAAAATTTTCTTTATTTTTTTCTTATTATCTGACTAGAGAAAGTATTTTTTTGAATCTCAATGTGTTAAATCTCAAATTGACTCTGTGACTCAAAAAAAAATAAAAAATTGAACATACTTATCACATAATAATAAAAATACAAACACTTATTTCAACATGGGTTTTCTATAAACTTTTGTTGCATTCCACTCTGGCGTTTTGGTCAAGGAGCGGTTAGTAACTTTGACATTATTATTATTCTTTCATTTTTTTAATCACGCATTTCTTCCCATGACAAAATTTATTGGTCATACACAAAAAATAAAGCTAACCTGATTGGCTCGTGTCAGTTCTAATTTATGATCATAATGCGCATTATGAAATGTTTATTCGCTCTACAACAAAATTAGAAGAAGCATAGTAATGTAAGAAAAATGTTACCCGAAACAAAGTTGACCAAGAGCACGATCTTGGATCAATATGAAAGTTCAAATAATTAAGCTGGCAATCTTTAGAGTTTTGAAATCCACTTATCGCCCAACCAATGAAAATACTTTGAGCGTGCAAATAGACAGTATGTAACAAACGAGAGAGCCAATTACGCGAATATACAAAGGTCATATGCACCCACACAAGCTTCCCAATTAACTGGAAAAGTATTAACGAATTCGATGTTATAATGATGTGATATATATCAAGAAGAGCATTTAGGATAGCGATAAATTAACAAATACAAGAATGACAATAGTAGTTATTCCAAAGAGCCAGACACTTTCTTCCCTTTTGGGAGCTTTTCTTGTTTGGTAATATCCAAATAAGGGTAATTTTGTTGACTCAATATTGTTTATTAATTAATATGAATATCAAATAATACAAAAGAAAAAATGCATGAAACATGAATTTATTTTGTTTGTGATCGATTGATTAACTATTCGTGTGCACTTAAACCATTAATCATGATACACTCCTTTCTACAAATTAACATTATAATGTTTAAGCTTGCCCGTTCCCAGAGAATTCCAAACTGCACAAAATATATATACACATGTATTTTCCATCAAGCATACTAGAATTTGCTTAATCGACTATCTCAATCACTACTGACACTTGATGCATGTAATCGGCACATAACTCGAAAGCGCAATTCATTGACCGAGATTGAAGCTAGTAATTAAAATCCTGGCATTGAGGAATGAGATTGTTGGGGAAAAAGCAATGCCAGAGTCTGAGTATATATTCCCACTTGAAAAACAGGAGCAATAATATATACTATGGAAAAAGGAACGCAAATACAAATTGTCGGGAAATCGCCACATTTTACATGTAACTGTGAGAAAAAAAAATCCAGGAAGCTGTATGTATTATTAGTCTATGTTGTCAACAAGCAAAACCGTGAACTAGATGCGGCGATCAACATTTTTATGTCATACATACGTTTTACGTCAGATAATGAAAAAAGACCGTTGGATGATTGATTAATGATAAATTAAAAATTTGATGATGACGAGATTATATTTTATGTGTGTGTGTGTATGTAAAAAAGTAATTAATTTTTTTATTTAAACAAAAAAATATTTCAACAAAAAAAAAATATCAAGGAATAAAATGTCTACTGCAAACGAAAATAACAATCAAATGTATAATGAACGATTCTCGTTTTTTTTTTTATTAATTATTTTTTTTTTTTTTAATTGACATGTTGTATCAAAATTTTTTTGATTTACTTATTGTTAGTATCAAAGATCCTCAAGAACAAATAGTAAATCCTTGGAATGTTCGTGGAGCAATCATCGAGGGAGAACCGCAAGCAATTAATTATGACAAATTGATTGAACAATTTGGTACAAAATCAATCGAAAAAGATCTCTTGGAAAGATTTGAAACTTTAACGGGAAAAAAATGTCATGTGTTTTTAAGAAGAGGAGTGTTCTTTTCGCATAGGTCCATATTTATTGTTACATTATGCTCTTTTATTGTTTACATATTATTATAATTATTTGTATTATTATCATTAGAGAACTAGAAATAATTTTGGATCGTTATGAACAAAAGAAACCATTTTTTCTTTATACAGGACGAGGTCCGAGCAGTACTTCTATGCATCTCGGACACATGATTCCATTTATTTTTTGCCAGTATGTAACACTTTTTTTTCGATTTTTTCGATTTTTTAAAATTACTCATTATAATATATTTATATAGATGGCTACAAGAAGTTTTTGATGTACCACTTGTCATTCAATTGACCGGTTAGTATTTTTTAAAAAAAAACCATATATTATATGTTGCATGACATTATAAATTTTTTTTTTTACGTGATTTTTGTTGTTTTGTATTTTCCACAGATGATGAAAAATTTCTTTTCAGAGCAGATCTTACACTAGAAGATGCTAATAAATACGCATATGAAAATGCAAAAGATATTGTTGCTTGTGGATTTAAACTTGAAAAAACTTATATTTTCTCGAATCTTGACTCTATTAGGTTCGTCGTTACACTAAAAAAATGTTATATCATCATCGTCATCGTCGTCATATTCATTATTCTAAAAAAAATAATTTTTTTTAGCGGTCCGTTTTATCGTAACATTGTAAGAATAGCAAAGTGTATCACAACCAGTCAATTGAAATCTACTTTTGGCTTCAATGATAGGTTAATAATATATTCTAAAATAATCAATCAATCCACCTTCCCCACATACATAATATTCATATAAAACAAAATCATTACTTACAAAATTCCTATTAAAAACAGCGATAATATTGGAAAACTTCATTTTGCCGCGATTCAATCTGCACCTTCGTTTTCTAATACTTTTCCTCAAATATTTGGTACCGATAGTGATATTCCTTGTTTGATCCCCTGTGCTATTGATCAGGTTAGTATTGTTAGGATATATTTTCTTTTCTACATACAATATGATATAAATGATATTGATGGTATATACTTATATATATATATATATATATTTTAAAAAAGGAACCATATTTTCGTTTGACGCGTGATGTTGCACGTAAACTCAATTACCCAAAACCAAGTTTGATTCATGCTAAATTTTTCCCTGCTCTTCAGGTATATATATATATATATATATATATATATATTCACATATTTATTACAATATTTGATATTTTATTGAAAAAAAAAAAAATGTAGGGTTCTCAAACAAAAATGAGTGCATCCGTTGATAATTCTGCAATTTTTATGACTGATACTCGAGACAAAATCCAGACAAAGGTATTTATTGTGATATATATACTGCTAACTGACCGACTTTTTAATTAGTAATAATAATTTTTTTTTCTTTTAACTAGATTAATAAATATGCCTTTTCTGGTGGTGGTGATACTTCAGAGCTTCATAAACTTCATGGCGGTAATCCTGATATAGACGTGGCGTATCAATATTTGCGCGTGTTCTTGAACAATGATGAAGAATTGGATGATCTATATAAAACTTATAAATCTGGTGAATTGATGACTAATGAATTGAAGGCTGTGTGTATTAAAGTGATACAAGAATTTGTTGGCGATTTTCAAAAGGTATTAATTAATATTAATATTAATATTAATATTTAAAGGAATCAAAATAATGATTTTTTTTAAAAAAAAAAAAATACAGCGTAAATCAGAAATTAGTGACGAACTAGTACGTCAATTCATGGATTCCAATAGAAAAATCCACATTTAAATTTTCTTTTTTACAAAAATTATTGCTGTATAAAAATATAAAAATGTAGTATTACAAAAATGATTAAAAATAAGGCATTAAAAATTTATTATCATTCCTTAATTAGAAAACGATATTAATTAAAAGATGGTAAACTATATGTATGTATTTACATAAAAATATATATATAAAAAAAAAGATAGTTTTTTTTTTAGTTTTATAATTGGTTATCTACATGAATAAATTATCCTCCACCAAAAATAAATATAATAATAATAAATAAATAAAGTACAAGGAATTTAATCAAAGAAAAAAACAAAATAAATAAATTAGTAATTAGAAAAAAAAATATGAAAAAAAAATTAATTAAAATAATAGTAAATCTATTATTATTATATATTTTTAATATGAATAATAAAATAAACAATATTAAATTTTATTATTTATTTTTATTTAAAACTAAATTACTTTTATTTATATATTTGATGGTGGTGGTGTTATTATTGGTGATGGTGATGCTTTTCCAGGTATCATTATATGTTCCTTAATAATAATAAAAATAAAAAACAAACCTCAATGAATAAATTTGTAATTTTTTCTTTTATTTCTACAGATAAAAAATTATATAATACTTACTTTGAAGTGGAAGTCTGGATCATCGTGTACAAAAGGATGTGATTGTAATAAATCTTTAGCGGTTGGCCTTATTTCAGGTTCACTATTATTATTAATATTAACGTTAATGTTAATTACTATTTGTGTGGAAACAAAAAAAATTTAATATCCTTTATTATCTTAACGCACATTATAAAACATTTATCCAGACAATCTCTAGCTTCTGCTGACATTATAAGATCTTCTCTTATTGGAGGAGCTTTTTTCTCGCTTCCAAGCTACATACATATAATAAATTTGGGTAAATAAAAATAATTATTAATTAAACAATTATTATATGAAATTACTAACTAACCTTAAACATTGCAGCAAGATCTGATAAATTTGGCCAAGGTCTTTCACCAGCAAACATTTCGAGCACAACACAACCCAAACTCCTAAAACATAAAAAAACAATTGATAAAAAATGTATTTTTGAAAAAACAAAAGTTTACATGGTAATGATAATAGTGATAATAATACACACCATATATCCACTTTTGCACTATAACCTTTAGTAAAAACTTCAGGTGCCATCCAAAATATTGTACCTTGTAATGACATATTAGAACTATAATCGTATGCAAGTGGATGATCTAAAATATAAATAAAAAGTATAATATAATTGTTTTTTAATTTTAATTCCCTATTTTTTTTATTTTTTAAATAAAAATAATAAATTTAACATACCACTTTTTTTCGATATCCCAAAATCAGATATTTTGCAAATACCATCCTCATTTACTAAAATATTATCTGCTTTAATATCCTTAATAATAATACAGATAATAAGGATTTGATGTTAGGATCCTCTATATAACATCTATATAATGATTTATGACAATAATGATTTGATAATTACTCTGTGTAATATTCCTTCATTATGCAAATATTCTAAGCCTAGTAAAATTTGTCGTGTGAATGATCTTACAACTGGTTCCTTAAGTGGACCATTCATTCTTAAATATGTACCAATTGAACCACCGTTAACATATTCAAGAAAAATGTTAACTTCTTCTTCATTTTCTTCATAACCTACATTATTGTATGCATTTGTGAATAAACAATATTTTTCAAAATATAATAAAAATGTATAAAAAACAATAAAGAAATAAATATACCAACCAATATATTGTACAATGTGATCATGATCCAGATCTTTTAATATTTTCATTTCATCTTTAAAAGATTTTACCTAAAAATATTTCAACAAAAAAAGATCAATACATGTTATGATGATAACAACAACAACAACAATAACAACAACAAACAGTATATGCATTTATTAACCATATTTCTTTGCCTTTGATTTATTTCATCTGATCGAGTCCGTGGAGTTTCGACTTGTTTCACTGCCATCATTTCTGATGTTGTCACATTAAGCGCAATATATACTTTTCCAAATGTACCTTTACCAATAAGTTCACCCTTTACCCATTTGACAGCATCTTTTTACCATTATCCAATTATCAATTAGTTCATTAATTTAGCAATAAATAAATATAAATTTATCGAATAATAAACTTACGATTTGATAATGATGAACAATTTGTTGTTTTATCTTGCATAATATTGTTTTCCGCATTCTGCTCACAAAATTTCATTGGTCTTTGTTCAACAGCTTTTTTACCCCAAAATTTGGTAGTAGGTTTTCTAGCTAACCGTTGGTTGTTAGCTTTAACCGCGTTAACAGCTTCAATAAATCTTTTATTTTTTTCACGTTCGTGTACCTCATGAAGTGTTGAACGAATTGATTTATATCTTGTTATTTTAGCACCACCGTTACCACTACGGCCACCATCACCATTACTGCCATTACTTTTTTCTGTTATTACTTTAGATGGCGGTGAAATTTCTTCTTGTTGACTTGCATTTTGTGGAGGTGCAGGTGTTACAGGTGTTACAGGTGTCCCAGGTGTTTCTGTTATCGGTTTATCAAGATCATGTCCAGGAAAAAATTGTTCGAGGTTCTCCAATACATCTTCAGTGGTCGGCCTTACAATCCACGATTCTACACCTCTACGTAATGAAACAGCCCGTGCAAGTTTACCACCACCTTTTGATGAATCCGAAATTTTTTTTTCTCTATTAGCCCTACCATTATTATTATTGCTACCATTACCATTACTACTATCGTCATTATTATTATTACTATTATTATTATTACTATTAGAAGTTTCCGAAGCATTGTTATTATTATTACCATTGGAATGGTTACTATTATTTTCTATAGAATCGACAACGTTATTATGTCTTTCCGTAGCAATTTTGTTGTCTTTATTATTGTTGTTGTTATTTTCGATTATCAAAGTACTAGTACTACTAACATTTTCTATAGTGTCAACTAGTTCATGTCTAACGATATTATCAGATTGCCCATTATTTTTATTGTCGTTGTTGTTGCTGTTGCTGTTGCTGTTGCTGTTGCTGTTGCTGTTGCTGTTGCTGCTGTTTTTATTATCAAAAATATTAAAAATATCATTTTTGCTAACATTATTAACATCCGTTGGTAAAGGTGACGGGGCAGGTTTAACCGCCCAAAGATCGTCGTCATCGTCGTCGTCATCATCATCACCATCATAACTGTTAATTTTAATACTCTCAGGTAGTGATAAAGTATTATTATTATTTTCTATGGTATCAACTAATTCATGCCTAATAATATTATCGCAATCTCCGTGATTATGAATATGTTTATTTTTTGAAGGAATGGGTTTAACCATCCAGACGCCCTTATAATTTTCATCTTCTTCATTTTGATTTTGATCACAGTTATGGTGGAAATCATTATTATCATCGTTATTGTTGTGGCTACTATTATCATTATTACCAAAGTTTGGTATCGGCATTGGCATTGGAAACTTTATGTCTTGTAGATCATCTGATGGTTCTGCAGTAATTGGACTAAACTCTTCTGTACTTTTCCAACCTTCTTGGAGCGTTGGATTAAAACCACCTGAAAAATATTTACCACCTGTATAAAAACTAGACGGTGATGAATTAGCTCTGAGTTCATTTTGGCTAGCCATTATTGGTAAATTATGATAAATTGGTTCTGTTGTTGATCTATGCTTAACAAAAAATTTTAATGTTCCTCGATCATCTGCATTCAAACATTTGTGAATTAGATCATTATCCTCTAATCTTGGTCCTAAAATTATATATATGTATGTATGTATATTAATTAAATTTATTAGTCAAATCAAAGATTCAAAAATTTTAATAATTATACCGATTTCTTTTTGTCCAAGTTCAGTCAAATGAAATGTATAATTCTCACAATCATTAGGATCAATATCCAATTGTGAAAATATTACTCTTTTTATTTTAGATCTTGGTTCGTCCCCAGATAATTCAACTAAACGAAAATTCTTAAAATCAAATGTCAACTGGAAATTGTGCTTGGGTAAATTTGTAAAATTGTTTAGTGTTGAAGTTGTTGAAGGTATTGAATCTTCTAAATTATTTGAAATTCCATTAGACTAGATAAAAACAAATAAACAATAGGTAAGTATAATAATAATAATAATAATAATAATGATAATAAGATAATAATGATAATGATAATCATTAGTGTTGTAATAAATTAGTATGTCTAATAAATAAATTGATCATACATACAAACGAAGGTTTAGGCTTAATATTATTAATATTATCAACGTTATTTGCTGGATGATTAATAAAAGGTTTCCACTTTCTGCTTATCGGTGAAGGAGGACTAGGAGTTTTATCATCAAGATAGCCATTATTGTTATTATAGTGATATGGTGATTGATCATGTGGATCTTGAGATAAAAATGGAATTGAAGTTAATATAGTTGGTTTTGACCATTTTTCATTATCTAAAGATGCAGAAAATTTTCTTTGCAATTCATGGTCGTTATTTAATGTTGATGTTGATGACGATGGTGATGAATTAATCGTTAAATTTGATGAGTTTTTATGATCCCAACCAATCGAAGAACTCCTTGGATTAATAGTAGGACTAAATGAATGATTGTTTTGATGATTGTTTGCATTACGCAAGTCAGGAAAACTAGTTGATAATTTAAGCGTTTTATTTGTTGTAGCTTCCAATAAACTAGGTGCACTAAGGCGTGTTTGAGAGGAATTATGCGTTGTTGGTGAATAAGATAATGAACCATATGTGTCACGAAGACCTCCTAATAAATCTTGAGAGCTCTATATATTGTATTATATTATATTTGTTATTAAAGTTATTAAAATAGAAAAAAAAATTTATTTTGTCACAAACCTTATCTGAAAATGAAGGCCGTTCACCTATCTTTCTAATAGCCGTTATCAATTTATAACGACCTTCCGTTTCATTTTTTAATAAATGTTTAATTTTTCTAAGGTCACGTAATGCAAAAAAATCTTCACCGTATAATTTATTGTCTATAAATAAATATAAATATAAAATAATTAATTGTATTATTATTGTTGTTGTCATTATTATTATTAAAAACAAATGTTTGATTTTAAGTAAAATTATTTTTTAATTGCCAGAGATTCGATCATTAAACCAACGTTATTACAAGAGCGCATAAATATAGTTACCAATAAAGATTTGTTTATATTCACTAAAGGAGTTATCCTCAAGCCATTGTAAAACTTTTTCAAGGGTCCACAATGAATAATCTATTTCCCCATCTATTGAACTTGATCTACTTCGATCATGAGTATGTCCTGCTATATGGTCTCGACGAATTAATGACATCAGCAGCAAAAAATTTTCTAATAAATATTACACATTATTTAATAATATTTATATATATATATATACATATATATAATAGAATGATGATAATCCTTTGTATTTTTATTTATACATTATAATACAAATTTGTGGCACCAACATGAATCAACAATTGTTCGTGAGCTAGGGTGTATACCAATAATGGTGAAACTCTTCAATTTAGTTCCCCCATTCGTGAGTGACATGCACACACATATCTTCCACATATTAGTGTTTATATTTAGCAATTTGTAACAAGTTGCAAAGAAAGAACCTTAATAAAGATGCAAGTAATAATAATTAGCATCATTATTTTTAAAAAAACGGTGTGGTTTCAAATGATTGTGACTTTATTGTGGATAAAACTGTTCTTCTCTTTCTCAACTGGGGATTAGAAATCTGTTGATTTCAAACCTTGTTACAACGGACTATATTATTAATAATAGTAATTAAAATTATCATTATCATAATAATAAATAACGGGTTTTTTAAAAAAATTTGCATATAAAAAGCCGTAGCGGCAAGATTAGTACTAGTAATTTTGCCATATGTGTTCCGTCCATCCTCTGTGACAAAACTGCTCAATTTAATATTAACCGCTTTCTGCGCCACTCGACCAAAAATCCAAAAATCACGTGCCAAGCGCATTTGTAAGAGCCCAAATTTGGAAATAATCATCATATCTCAATAAAAGATTATAAATAAATAAAATTCATGATTATTTTTATTTTATTATAAACATTTTCAAATAATATGTATATATGTATAATAAGTAAGGTTCAGCTGTAATTCACGGATTATACGTTGAATTACGTGCAATTACTAATTGATGACTTTAAACATAAAATCATGATTATCTAACTTGCACGTCATTAAATCATTTGTGGGATTATTAGCAGGAGAGAGAGATTGGGTTATCGTACTTCTTTTGCTTTGAAATTCAAATCCGAAATAGAAATAGAAATGAAAAAAAAAACAAATATAATTCGAAATTCAAATTTATTGAATGAACGTACGAACCTTTATTAAAATAGTACCATTTTCAAAAGGTGCTTGATTGTTTTTTCCAATTTCGACAACGAGAAGGTAAAAATTAGTGACGGAGATGTGTCTGTTACACTTTAAGAAAAGTATTACACTTGGTTGGATGTAAGAATACAGTAATAGATATTCGATCGACCTAGTCAATCGGATGGATGCATGAAATGCAAGATAAAGTAATTAATTAGATAGTCGTTTTACGTTTTGAAATTTTTATTAAATAATAAAACATTTGTCATTCTTTTTATCGATAACTATCTCTTTATTTATTGGTGTTACATTGTTAATAATCGTTTTGTTTAACAACGAAATTAAAAAAAACCCCTCCCGTCATTAATTATTTTGTTATTTGGTTTGAAAACTTGTTTAATAAACCTCTCAAAAAAATTTATTTTTAAATAAAAAATGCCTTCTATTTTGTCTTGTAATGGGTTTATTATTATCAAGAGTCTAAGCGGCGAACTTTGCAGAGTAGACGATGACAACTTTCGCCAAAAGAAGCTTCAAGGTATCTTGGAGTAATTTAAAAAACATGATCCAAGAGATTAAAGAAAATATGTTCTTGATGGTTGGAACATTTTTTAACATTGGATCAGAGCTATTCTTAAGAAATTTTTTTAATAATAATTTATTTTATAGGTTCCAATTGGCCAATTAAAATGTCTCTTTCTTCGCGATAATTTTTTTGAATAGATAAAAATGCCATGGACACAAAAAGGTTAAATGTTTCGTACGTACTAAATGGACTGAACGAAATCTCTCTACGTTGATATCTTTTGGTCCCTATAATAATAAGGGTGAAATTCAAATTATCGTCAAAGTTTCATATCCAAACACTCCCACCCCAAAATTTTAATTCACACAACAGAAATAATAAATAAATATTTTATTTTTTTCATTTACATTCTTAAAAAAATGTTTGAAATAATGAATTTGCCGTCTGGACTTCTAACCGAAACATTCAAATACATTGAAGATGATTATAAAACGTTATATTCCTGCATCCTTGTCAACAAACAATGGCACAATACCAATATTCCAATTTTATGGAGAAATCCATTTTATTCTCTTAACAGCATTAAAAATATTAATTAATTGTTTATTGGAAGTATATAAGAATTTCCTAACTAGAACTGAATTAACTTTTGAACTATTGGAGAAACACCATTATACAATTATGTCTGGTTTTATACTATAATGCCCAATTACCTGATAGAATCGAATATTTTACAAAATAAATTGGGAAACTTTATTAGCAGGTATTAGAAAGTTTAGTATTAATTATATAGTTGTTTTCGGAATATTTATGAAAAAATTGTAATTTATTAATTAATCATCATAAGTTTGATAATTGTTTTCAGAATCTTTATGAAATAGATTGTAATAGTTCTTATAGTGGTGAATTTTTTGATAAATTGGCAAATATTTGTAAAATATTCAATCATTAATAATACAATACATATATATAAATTGGCACAGCTAATTAAAACACAAAATCAAATTAAATGGTTAGTTATTAAATCAACATCGGGTCAAAACTTGCCAGATGAATTAAAAAAAGGCAATATTAACACATTCACAATTAATAATTTTTATAGATCTTATGGTGGTGGAAATAATTTTAATGATTTATTATTAGCAACTTTTAAAGACTTAAAGACTTTAGAATTAGCACCATCTCATGCTGATAGCAAGATAAAAAGTTGGAAAAATATTTCACTGCCAAAGATTGAATCTGTGAAGTTATGTATTAACTGTCAACCATTTCTACCAGACTTGTCTGATTTTATTAATATCAATGGAAAAATTGGATGCTGATGGTTATCACAGGAAATACTTTATTTATTATATTATATCATAATAGTAACCCTTTACCAATTTAATATTTCATACCAATAAATTGATAATAACCAGAAAAATCATTAATATTAAATAATATATAGTTTTTCATTTTGAATTATATTTTTTTCTTTTGTTACAAGAAAATGAAACTTACATTTTATATTGTAATTAAAGACACTTTTGATTGTTGCAACCATAGATAGTCATTTTTTTTTTAATTGCGACAAGTATCCTTAATTGCAATAAAAAAAACCTGATGTTGATGAGTAAAAATTATTACGTACGGAATGTTACGAAACGTAATATTAACACATTCAGATTTAGTATTATTATTATAATTAGGATTATGAAACAAGGTTCACCTTCAAGTTGTCCTGAACATTATATTCTTAGATGTAGCATACATATTTATAAAAGGCATTTCGACTTTCTATTATTATTATTATTATTATTATTATTATTATTATTATTATTATTATTATTATTATTATTATTATTATTATTTATTACTGTTATTATTATTATTATTATTATTATTATGGAAATTTACTCTTTATCGGATGTAACTTTTCATTCCCCGTGCGTAAAACTTGTTTATCTTTTCAAATATAAAATAAATACTTATATATATATATATTTATTTATTTATTTATTTAATTATAAAAAACGATAAAATTGGGATTGAATAATTAAATTATAAATAAATATAGGATAATAAAGGAATAAGGAGATGTGATTTTATTTATGTTGCTAAAGTAATAAACGAAGTTATAAACTGCTAGAAAAATATTATATTTACAAGTGAGTATTTTTTTTTTTTCAAAAATGATATTACGATGAAAATACTTACAACACCATCACTATTTATATTATTTAAAATGCAAATTAACAGTTAATATTTTCTCAAATAATGATATTGCTTCTTGCATGCGCAGCAAGATTTGGTAAAACTACCTTAAATAAAAATCTATCTCTGATTTTATTTTAAGTAATAAGGCAGATATTATTATTATCATATCTGTTATGTACAGTAAACTCGAAATAAAAATTGAAAGATATAGATACAGTGTGCTGCGAAAAAAACGGTAGCGAACTTTCTACCATTCCTCAATCATAAATTGCATCAATTCACCAGTATCTTTTTACATTCTTTTTTCCGCGTACCTTCAATGAGTGTCCGATAACCATAATGGTAAAATGTTCCGCCTTCAGGTATTGTAGAGCACCTACTAAGAAATATTCAGATGCCTCGAATCTATTAATTATAAAAAACTATACAAAAAATCATATCAGTTTGTAGCTTAAGTTCTGAAGATTATGTAATTCGATTATTTTTTTTAAAAAAGGAATTCTCTAAAGCCTACTAAATAATTTCGTGATTTTTACATGTAATAATCTAAAATCATCCGATTCTCTGAAATCAATTTTAGAATTCATGCACCATTCTTTTCGCAGCACGTAATAATAACAATAATTGAAAAAAAAAGAGTTATTAATTTAATCCAACTACATTTAACCATATCATTCATATTTGTCATATATATATCAGGTAACAAATTCAGGCATTTTATTAATCATAGATCATTGGAGTTTTATGAACAGTTCACACTCACTCTTGCATTCTTTTCTTTCATTTCTTTACTCGATCGATCGATCACTTCTCATTTCCCTTACTTTTGCTCTGTCACTCGCTTGAGAAATTATGAAGAAATCAAACGATGGATGATGTATAAGGTCGATCATGCCAAAAACTAAACATAATGAAGAGATTGTGCATGACACGAGAAGTTTTCTTTATTATTATTTTTGTTAATAAAAACCATATACTGGTAAATAGAAAATATTTGCATTACAAACAAGAATTATTTTATTAATATAACATTATAAAAGGTTATGCAGGAAAAGATCAGCTACCAATGCCACTGATCAACAGCTGATGAACTATAGTTCTATTAACACCACCAGCTCCAAATGCCATTAAACAGCAACGAGCAAATGTTATGTTGTCACCACCAGTTTCCAATGAAACTGAACAAGAAAAAAATAAAAGACAATGAAACATTTAGTGACAGGTTTAATGATTCTTCTGAAGAAGTATTTAGCATTTATGAAATAAATCTATTAATTTTAGAAGAAAAAAAACTTTTTATAATTATCTTTTTTATTAAAAAGTTGACATTTGTTATTTATAACATTGAATAATACTAATCATATTAGAATATTGCCAACAAAAGAAATATATAATATTACAAACAATTCAATAAATATTACATACCATCATCACAGCTACATTTGTCCAGTCAAAAAACGACTAAGCAGTCAAAATTTTCTCATTTTGATATAAATTGTCACACATTAATTGGCCAGTGGCCAAATGTCAACTCTAGCAATATGCATATCAAATTGAATAAGATTTGGATGTTCTATTTTTATTAATTTTCCCATTGATGTCATATGCATTCAACAGTTTAATCAGTTAAAGTAAATGTTTAAACGGTTAACGGTGCCCAATCTCTAGTTCGTGATATAAAAAAATATAAATATTTGATTTATTTTCCAATCGATGTCATGTGACTCATGAGGAACACTGAATACACTACACTTCTGTTAGACGAGCCGCGTCCAAGAAAAACCATTTTGGTGAGTCGAGTTTTTGCAAAAGGTACACCAATCAAGTCTTTTTTGTAAAATCAAATACAATTTAAATGTGTCCATTAATATTTAAGCCATTAAAAAAATGTTACAACTAAATAATCTCAAAAATTTTAATATTTTTTGTATAAAAAATATTGAAAAGCCAAAATAAATTACCTTTTTCTAAAAAAAAATTCAGCCAACACCACTTTATAATTGAAATATAAGTTCTATATATATACATATATATATGAAAATTGATTTAGAAATGACACCAACCATTTTTAAAAAATTGTACTTTGGCACCCTCTATTTCTGTTTTTAAAATTTCACCATTTTGGTCAGTCTTAATTCTTGTTTGTTTATCCAGAATCACGATTCATCTTTTGTAATGTCGTATGGGTAGTTAAAGACCCAAAAAACTCTCTTCTTTCATTATTAAAACAGTTTCAAAGAAAACGTCATTTTGAAATAAAAAGCAGCCATCGTAATTTTTTTGAAAAGAAAGCTGGTTTTAGAGTTACAATAGACAAAGTATTCATAATAATAGCTTAAAAGATACTGTTAAAAATTTTCGGTGGAATCCCAATCTTCAAATCCCCATTGAAAACTACATTAAAAAGATATTAATATCGTGTAACCTTCCGAAAAGTACTGCAACAAAAATTGGCGTATATTTAAACAGTATTAACTGGTTAAAGCCAATCTTCTGGTCTTTGTTTGACATATATTTTTAAAAGGGATTGGTAGAATCAGGAAAACAATAAAAAAACATGTGTAAATTATCCATATATTTTATGCAAAATCCCCCGCTTTTGTTAATAATTCATGCTGATTATAGGCAAGAACGTATGATAAGTGCATGTTCTATGCCAATCTCCTGTTTTTGTCAATAACTCACGCAAATTATAGGTGTTTTGTATTGTGGCTTAGCTTTTATTGTCCTCCTTATTAATATTAAATAAATAAGTGCATCACCCAAGTAATAATAATACTAAGGCCATGCAAAGAAAGAGATTTCCAAGTAACCAAATTTGAAAAAGTGAATAAGAATCATTTCAGAAAAATAAAACGAATAACATTAAATCTAACATATTGAGCTTGGGTATCAGATTTAATAAGATTTCCCTTTTACGAATATGTAAGCACTTGATTTCTTCTGTAGAGTTTATTTACCTACATGTGAAGGATTACTTACAAGTTAGAGGCTTCAAACAAATGAGAGCGGGTCTCTTTGATAACAATGTAACTTAATAAAATACAGAGCCAACACAACCCTCCGAAATGTGATTGCACCGTCATATCCTCAGATCGTCAGGTTAGATTAGCCTTTGTATTCAAGGAATATCAGAATTTGAAATATTTGAGCTCCAAAGTAATTTTCATTATTTAATGTACAATTTCACATATTGAATTGTTTGGCAATATTTCCAAATTGCCCAAGTGTAGTTTCACGTCTTCAACAGTTTCATTGTTCTTAAATTTATGCAAAACAAATATTCCCACTATTAAATTGTTTATGATTAAGCCCTATGGTGAACATAATTACTATAATGTAAGTAAATTAAATATTATTTAGACTATTTTATAAAAGAAATAAAAATAATATAAATATTATCAACATAAAATATCAATACAAAAGTATCTCTGTTTATTAATAAATAAGATATCTTCTTCCGAACCATCAAGTAGTAATTAATATATAGGTAAAACATGAACGTGTAGTTCCTTCTTGCCTTAGGTCCTTCGTTTAAAGTTAAAATAGTATTTTATTTTGCCAAAAAAAAAAAAAAATAGATGCAAAAAAATTTGTTTGACTCATTCTGTCAGTGACCAAAATGATATTTTAAAAACCCGATTAAAATTAAAGATGGCTCCTCAATTGTGAATATGAAAATTGAATTGCGGCTAATGGCAGTTCCCATATTTAGTTAGAATTATACAAGGACGACTGCAAAGGCCGTCAACTACCAAAATAGTATCTGCCCCTCAGGGGCAAATCAACTCGCAATTATTTAGAAGTCAAGAAATAATTCGTTGCAACCAGATTTTTTTATTTTAAATTTTCTATGTATCAAAGGTTATAATGGTTTAAAATTTTACTATTTTGTAATATTTTATATATCACTTTCAAAGTTTGCCGCCTGCTATAGTATAGAAAATAAATTTTTACTAATTACTCTTATTTCATTGGTGAAAGTGCTTTCACGTGATATTTTCTCACATAGCCCTTAAATTTTATTGGCTAAAATTTGTACACGTGATAAAATTTTAAACGCTTAAAATTTGCCACCCTCCTTGTCTTTTGCTGTATGATAACCATAAAATTATGTTATAAATCTACCCTATTATATAGATAAGTTTACATTGATTCAAATAAATTTCTCTTTAATTTATTTAATGTAAAATTATTTCATATATTAAGAATTTCAGGGATCAATATTGTTTTTAAAATCACAATTGTGTTACAATACCACTACATAAAACCCAAAAAGTTCATTTTTTTGAATACAGTCAGGCCTCCATAAGTGCACCCTCCATAAATGCACACCATCCATACTAGTACACTGCACGGTATTTTTTCGGTCCGCTCATATGAAAACTCTCTCCATAAATGCACCCCACGTGACCGATGTATAAAATTCATCGTGTAACTAGGATAAATTTAGAAATCATCAACATAAATTTTTGATTTAATTGGATAATTTCCGTATACGTAACACAATCCGAAATTTTTTATCTTGGTAATTTGTTCTTTATTTACTATTTTCTTTCATCTCATAATTTTATAACAAATAAAGGTCAAAATTTTTGTTATTTTACAACTTTTGTAATTTATAATAAATTATATATTTTTATTTATTGCTTTGTATTTTTACAACGAAATTATTTATTAATTATAGCTTTGTAATTATTCAACGGAAATATTTGTACATAAATTTAAATAAAATTAATCAATCCTTTATCAAATATTGTCTATGAGGTTCCAGAGGACAATAAAATTATTGAAGAACTTGCAGAAATATATAAAAATAATATGAATGTACCTGCTGATGATTTTGATGAAGACAATGATAGCAATGAACAACCAACAATAAGCCATAAGGAAGCATCAAAAAGTCTTGAAACTGTACATGCATTTTTATTACAGCAAGAAAATGCTAGCGAACAAATAAAATTGGTTAATAAAATCGAAAGATGTCTCAATGTAAAAAAAGTAAATTCATCAAAACAAACTACAATGGATAGTAATAATTTTTTTTTTAAATTTTTGTAACACGTGCAACCAATGAAATTTCTTCTCTCTATAAATGCACACCCTCTATAAATGCACACTGTCCCTCAGTCCCCAAGGGGGTGCACTTATGGAGGTCTGACTGTAATTAAATTATTTTTGATTTGTTTAAAATTTTAGACGTGATGGAACCGGCAACAAGCTCTTATAATATGAGAAATCTAGGTTTCTCATTAACTCAATAACTTATTTTTCATTTTTAATATCTCTTGATCATTCGAATTAATTATAAATCGTTATTAAAAAAGGGCCGTTAAAAGACTTTTAAAAGAACCCTTGTGAACTACAACAAGATACTTGTAGTGATTATGCAGCTCAACCACTTGAGGTAAAAGAATAATAATAATTTGGTAAAAAGATTATATTTATTTGGAGATATTGCATTTATTTTTTTTTAATTTATTTGAATGACCCTAATTAATGATACAACTATATATAGTAAGCCTAACTGTGTTTATTAGATAATACTTTTACCATCTGAATATCCATTTAAGTCACCAAATCTGATCCTAGTGACTGCATGTATGTGTGTGTATATTATATATATCAAGATTCATATATTTGTTAATATCCTTTAATTTTTAGCCAAATGGTAGATTTGAACTTGATAAGAAAATATGCCTTAGTATAACTGGATATTACCCTGAATATTGGTTACCAGCTTGGGAAGTAAAGTTCAACAATATTAATTATTATTATTATTATTATTATGCAACTATAATTTGTAATTTGATTATATTATTAATTTTATTGTTATATATATATATATATACATAGTTCGTACAGTTCTTTTAGCTTCAATTGGATTTTTGACAACAAAATGTACGCATTATTAGTCAAAAAGGTCAAAAAGAATAAATGCAACAATTATTAGTAACTTGATGGATTTAGCAAATGGAGTGATTGGAGAGAAAAATATTAGCAAAAAGGTGAATAATAATTTTTTTTCTATTATCTAGGAAGAAATTGATGATTTTGGATTTTAGATCCCGCAACTGGAAATATGATAAAACAAATATTGAATTATTATCTGATTATAATAAGAACAATAGAAATAACAATAATGTGTATATTGCCAAAATTTTCATTTATTTATGAGAAAGAGCAGAAAAAACCAAAACCAGGTGTTTTTATTTCTCTATTATAAAAAATTCTTTTTGTTCAATAATTACAGAATTTGAAAATGAATCTAATACAAATGATAAAAATAATAACACAAATTACAATAATGATACAAAATATTCCTACCACAAGTATTTCCTCTACAACCACTTCGTCCAGCACTAAACGTAACAATATAAAGAAATCATTGGACTTTGTTTGATTCATTAATTATTATAGTAATTTGCGTTATTGTTCATTCTCACTAAAAAAAAAGGGCTTATTATTAATCATCAGTGGTAGCATTCGTTGTAGTAGTTGTAGTATCCTTTGATTTGGCAAATAACCCTGAATCTTTCCTATCCACAAAACCTTTATTTATACAAATCCAAATAATCAATATTAATAAACCTATCAGAAATCCAATTAGATAAGATTGTAACACCAATTTTCTGCCTCTGTTGAATAAATTTCCTGTTCTAAATAAATAAATTGATAGCAATATACTTGTAAATCCCATATAAATTAATCCTACTATTGTACCCTTTGGGAATTCGATAGAAACTCCTGCCAACAATAATGAATAAAAGAAGGCTGAAAATATCCATAATGTTAAATAGATTTTTGATTTTATTTCAATATGAATTTGATTTCTAAACGCTAATATTTGACTCCAACTCATAAGCACTGATCCAAACGCATACAAATAATGTCCTGCCTAATGATATTTGTACAACAATAATCGTGATAATTAATTTAAATAGATTAACGAAAAAAGATAATTCAAAAATTAAATTACCACATGTTCGATAGTTTCTCGATAATAATCAACCAAATTATTTAATACTGGATATTGTGTCGCCATTTCAGGGTTTCCTTCCAACACCTTTATTAATTCTTGTTTAGCTATGACCCCAGTTGAATGCATACCGGCACCTAATGTAAATATCTTCTTCATTATTATCATATTTGTGATCTTTGTAATGTGATTTACAATATATATATTCATTCATGCATACCTTGAGCATAAATTGCAGCTCCGATCATAAATATTAACATCAAAAAATTTTTTTCCGATAATTTCAAAACTGTTACATCAAAAAACCAAATAAAATTCAATTCTCTAATTTATCATTCATCATCATGTAAAAGAAAAAAATTGCAATATTTACAAAAATTTTGACTCCCAAACTCATCGTCATTAAATAACCTTGAAGAAGAAATTATAAAATAACTTAAAGGTAATCCTACAACTGGCTCAACAAATCCTTGATAAAAATTATATTATAACAATATAAATTTTAATTGAAATATTAATTATCAGAAATTATATAATAATAACGCGATATTTACTGTATATGTGGGCTACTATTCCTTGAAAATCCGCGACGACAGGGATCATTGTAAAAATCAAAGTCCAAAGTGGTGAAAGAATTAACAAAATTATAATTCTTTTATCAAAACTTCCACTACCATCAATCGTCGATAAATGACCTCGACTTTTCAAGGTCATATCTATAAATATTGATTCTTCTGTTTCTCTTGCTTCAGTTTTATTATTATGAACCGAGAATCTTGACGAAACTTTGTATGGAGTTTTAAGCGGCATTTTTCAAGTTTTGGAAAAAGTAAAAAAAGTTATCAAGTTATATTTATTAAAACAAAATAATAAAACAATAGATCGTGTTGTATATACAAGAACTTATTGTGTTATTATTTCTATAAATAAAAAGTTATGTTTCAACTTAAAAATAAATTTCTTGGTATTGATGCAAGTGTAACATTATGTAATTAATATGCCGCCGTTTGCGAATTATTATGTGATTTAAGAGTCTTGATTAAAAAAAAAATTCAAATTATATATACATAGTAATAGTACAACCAAGTTAAATATATATCTAAAGATACATAAATAAAAATTGCAAAGAATTAAATAATAATAATTAATTATTAATCTGTTCATTTGATTTATTTGTATATTTTTCTACTTCGGATGCTAATTCTGTGATTTGATTTTTATAAACATCTCTCATATCATCAATAATATCTTGCAGCTCTTCTACCTTTTCTGTTTTCTCTCCCAACATTTCTAAAGCAGCATTATAACTAAAGCCACAAACAAAAAAAGAATAAATAAATAAATATATTGATTGATTATTAATCACAGTAAAAAATTCAAGTACCTTTCATTCAATTTGAAGAATTGATCTTCTACTTCTGTTAATCTTTCACTTTTAATTGTCCTAAAATCGATATATGTATGAGATACATATATGTATGCACGTATAAATATTTCATCATAAAAATTTATTTTATACATACATTTCTTCTAATTGAACAGTCAATTTTACCAATTCATTTGCCAATTCATCTAAATAATGATAATAATAAATTTGTTGGTTAATGAAATAATCATCAATGATAATAATTTCGTCAAATAATGACAAACCTCTATTTCTAGTAGCAATATTTAATTGAGATTGTAATGTGTTGACTTGACTTTCTAAATACTTGACGGATAAATTCAACTTGTCGATCAACAAAATATTACTACTGCTACTGCTGCTATTATTACTATTACTATTATTATTATTATTATTACCGAAAATACCAAGTAGACCATTAATACTTATACCATCAATACTTGTTCTGGTACTTGAGCTTGGGCTACATAATATTGGTGATAAAGGTGAATATATTAAATTATTACTACTATCACTGTTACCATTATTATTATTATTATTATCATCACAATTATTATAATTGTCTGAATTAGTTTCACCAATTGATTTAAATGAAGTCTGTGAAATATTATTTCTTCTAATTGTATCAAATTTAATTCTTTTTTTATTACCATCTTGTTGCTGTTCTTTGAATAACCTTAAATCTTGCTCATATTTTAATCTTTTCTCGAATTCTTCAGATAGTTTTTTCATTGCTTCATCATATTTCTCTTTAGTCTCTTTGAACAGATTATCCTTTTCAACTTGAATTGAACCAATTTTAGCAGTAAGTTCTTGAATTTGTAATTCTAATTTTGGAACTTGTTTAGATTTCAAATAATCTAATTCTGTTAATAATTTAGAATTTTGGGAACGTTCTAATATTAATGCTAATTCTTGTTGTTGAAATTTTGTAGACTTTCACATCAGTATGATGAATGATGGTAATTGATAAATAATTAGTAAATAAGTATATAATGAGTTATTATTATTAAATTAATAAAATTATATATTTTACCATTTCTTTAAGTTCTGAATTCAATTCATCATATTTCTCTTTATATTGTCGACGGCTTGCTTCTATTTCATTTAACCTTGATGTAAGGCTTAAAAATATATTTATATAATATATAATGAGATATATTGTAATATGTTTACAAAAAACATTAATTATATTATCATTATTATTGATTACTTTGATTCTATTATTTCCCAATTTTTTAATGATCTTGTATGTTGAGTATGCAAATTTTCAATTTGTCTCAATACTTGAATTTTTTCAATGTTCCATTCTTCTGCTGTTGAATCTTCTAAAGAAATCTCTGTTATTTGCAATTTCTTTTGTAATCCCTAGAATAACATGTTAACAATAATTGGATAAGTTTTTATTAATAATAATAATCATCATCACTACTGCTACTATTATATTCAAAATCTTATTTTAATACTTTATTATTACCAAAATTTCTTGGCGTAAATTGTCCTCTCTTAATCCTGATTGTTCTTCAACTTTTGATAAAGTTGATCTCAATTCATTAATCTAAAAAAAATTATTTTTTAGAAATATTTTTAAAAATAATTATTAATATTAGCTGAATAATTAATCACCTCCATTCTTAAATTACTCTCTGTAATTACTGTTTCATTCCTTAATTTTTCCAATTCTTTATTTAACTTTTCTCTAATTAAAACCTTTCAAAAAAAACACAAAATTATTATTTGATTATATTATTTTTGGAAATCTTAAATCAAATAATTACCTCTTTTTCTAGTACAGTTGATGTTTGCAATGGAGATGAAAGGTTTTCATTAAGTTCATTTAATTCTAAATTTGCTTTGTTATATAATTGCTATTTCAATTAATAAAAATATTGTAATGTTAATATATAATTAATTATTATTATTATTATTATTATTATTATTATTATTATTATTATTATTATTATTATTATTATTATTACTGTTAATAATTATTATTACCTTCAAATTATTACATTCATTAATAAACAACTCGTTCTCTGCTTCTAATTTTTTTATTTTTTTTTGTAGAACGTCCTCAGATTCTTTATAATTTACTAGTTTACTATTTAATTTTGATATTTCCTGATTAGATTTCTCATATTTTCTAAATAAATCATTATAATGTTGTTCTTGTTCTGCTTCTTTTTTATGATGCTTTTTCAAACTATTTCGATGCATTAATTCATTCCTTGATAATTTTTCACCTAATCAAAAATTATTATATTTAAATAAAACAATTTATTTTATTTAGTTCCTCGAAAATATTATGATAAAATACCTTCAGCTAAAAGTCCAGTAATTTGGTCTTCTTTTTCTGATAAAAGATTACGTTGATATTCAAGTAAATCTTGTGTTGATGAAGAGTCCTCTGAATTAGAAATTTTTTGTCTCACTGTATTCAACTCTAAATTAGATTTTTGTAATTGATTTTCTAGACGATCAATCCTTTCTTGTGAAATCTTTGATTCTGCAGCTTTAAGTTCTTCCAAGTCTTTTAATTGTAATTTTAATTGTTCCAATGAATCATTTAGCATGGCATTTTGTTCAATTGCACTCATTAGTTGACGTTCACGTTGTTCAACCAAATGTTGAAGATCATTAACTGATGATGATATAGATTTTTCACTAAATTTTGCCTCTGTAGTAACTGTTGATTTATTTTTATTAAAATTACCATTACCAATATCATTATTAACATCATTATTAATGTTATCATCATCATCATCATTATTATCATTACTATTATTGGACAATGAATTCTTTAATTCATCTTTATTCTTCAACTCCTTCTCTTCTTCCTCTTTCTCTTCTTTCTCCACATAATCATCGTCTGTGGTAATGGAATTATTAGAAGAATGATTTATACCATTCTCTTCAATGTCTCTTTCTAATATATTTTCATTATTACCATTAATATCATTTTTTAAATCTAAATTAATTTGATCGCTTTCGCTGGATTGCAATGAAATGCTTCTTCTGTCAACTTCACCAGAAACACGCGGCGTAATATTTCTACTACTATTATTACTACTAACTACTCTGATAGCATAATTACTATTACTACGAATATGTGATAACAATTCATTACTTTTTGATTTTAGGATTGAACCTGTAAAATCCGTGGTTGTAGATGATGTGGTTGTGGTGAATGTCTTTGGATTTAATTTTGGTGATGATGATGATGATGATGGAGGCGTTGATGATGGAGGCGTTGATGATGATGATTCTTTATTTTTATAATTAATTAGTGATGATGTAGATGAGAATGTTAGTGATGACGATGATGATGTTGATGTTAATGGTGGCGGCGTGGGTGGTTTGGGTGTTGGCGGTTTTGGAGGTGGCAGATCAATTGGACTAACAAATCCTGTTATTGGGTCTATGTAAACATCTTGATAATTATTTCCTAAACATTTCAATGGATGAATAATTAATTAATCAATTAATCAAAAAAAGAATTTTTTCTTTCTCCTGGAAAAGAAACTTTTTTATGAACAAAAATACCATTATCGTTTCCTTGAATTACAAAAGCTTTATCAAGTTTACTCTCAACACTATTCATTGCTTGTTTAAACATATTACCCCAACTACTACCATTGCCGCTACTATTATCACCATTACCATTTGATGCATTACCATTTCTTGAGGAATTGAAAAAACTCATTTTCTTTTCCTTTATCTTTTCTTTTAAAAAAATCGCTTTTTTAGTTTTTTATTTTATTGCTATTTATATATATATATAGTTTAAAATAAAAACCCAAATATAAATATAAATATAAAGTTTATGAATATTTGTTACACAAAAAACCATGCTCACTAATCAATTATTTAAATAATATTCACTTTGAACTTGAAAGATTTTAAATCTTTTGTCTTTTATAATCTTTCACTTAAGCCCTTTATTAATTTTGATTGAGACTCAAATAGATACCACTTGTAGTATATAAATTGAAATTTGTATCACTAAAGTTGGACATTAAAACTTATTTATTATTTATATATAAAAAAGAACTACAATTTTTGAATTATTTCAAGGTAATTTTGTTTAGTGTAAAGAAAAGAAAAAATGTCTGGAAGAAATCAACCATACAATAACCAATATACTTATGATCCCAAGCTTTATGCAGACCTTTCTTCACAACGACCAAATCATCGTCAACAACAACAACAATATTTTAATAATAATAATACAAATTATCCAACGACAGATAATTACTATTATCATCAACCACCTAAAGGTCCAGCATCAACGTCAAATATGTCAATTACATCTAGAACAACAGTAGAAGCATTGCCATCAGTTATAAGTCATTCTACTACGTTCAATAATAATAATAATAGCTTTTTTTCGCCAGCTAAACTAAATAATAGTGGTAGTGGAATTGGGAAAAATAATTATAATCAAAGACATTATAACTCAATGAAAGATGAAAAAATTGAATTGGTAGATCAAAGTAATAATAATGATGATGCTAATAATATTAGTAATAATAATAGTGGTAGTAAAAACCAGAATTCTAAAAAGAAACAAAAACCAATTATTAGAGCAGCAGGAGGAGAAGTTTGGGAAGATTCTACATTGTTAGAATGGGATTCAAGTAAGTAGACAAATTCTTTTCACACATTTGTGAGAATATTATAAAATCACTAGATTATAATATTGTATTAACAAACAATGATATTTATTATATCAATGCTCATGAATTTAAATAAAACTTGTCATAATAGATGATTATAGATTATTTTGTGGAGATCTTGGTAATGAGGTGACAGATGATATGCTTTACAAAGCATTTAGTAAATATTCATCCATCCAAAAAGCCAAAGTGATTCGAGACAAAAGAACAGGTAAGAGTAAAGGATACGGATTTGTAAGTTTTAAAGATGCTGATGAATTTGTTAAAGCATGGAAAGAAATGAATGGTAAGTTTATTATGCTATTGTGAGAAATGCTCTTTATTTACAATTAAAAATAAATAGTAATAATAATAATAAAATTTCTTTAACTGATCAATAAAGGTAAATATGTTGGAAATAGGCCGATTAAGTTAAGGAAAAGTAACTGGAAAGATAGAAATTTTGATGCAAAATCAAAAAAACATCATCCTTATTAATAATTATGAATAAATAAAAAATATTGATCTATTACCACTATCCGAACTCTAACAGTATCCGATCCGAAACTATTAAATGACATCCGATATTTGATTTAAACTATTAAAAACAATCCAGATATCCAATATCTGAATTTAAATCCAAATGGCCTTAGTGTAAAAGATTAACCATTTGACTATATTCGAATGAATATTCGGATATTCATCGTAACAAAAGTCGTGCACGTGTTTAAACAATATTTCTATTTAAATAATTCGATAAAACGAATAGAGAGCAATTCGAATAAAAACGAATAAAACAGCGAATAATTTGAATAAAACGAATAAAACGAACAAGAATTTGTATTACGAATAAAAACTCTATTCTACTCTTATAAGCAAGACCCGAAATATTAATTGAACAGTTTATTAATTATTCTTTCACTTGGTAAAGTGACATTAATCTTTTCTTTTAAAGTTAATCTATAATAATAAAGGTATTAAGAGACTAGGTCACATGTCCGAAGCACGATTGGACGGAAATCACTATTTTAATTCGAATATTATTATTATTATTATGACTATATACACGGTAGCAGATCATTTCTACATTTAAAATTTTATAACGCGTTTTTGTTTTAAAAAAAAAGTTGCATAAATAAATTACATAATAATAAACGTAAATATTAGTAATAATAATATGTCTGAACATTATTTGAAATTAGAAATACTTGGTGAAGGTGAGAAGGAAAAGAGATTTACACTCTATTAGTCGCAAAATAATAACAATTAAAGGAATTAAGAAAAAATGATTTTTATAAAAGGAACATATGGTGTTGTTTATAGAGGGAAAGAAATAGCAACAGGGAAAGTCGTAGCACTAAAACAAATTAGACTTGATGATGAAGTAGAAGGAATTCCATCAACATCATTAAGAGAGATTTCTTTATTAAAAGAAGCCAGTAGGCATGAAAATATGGTGAAGTGAGTCATTTGTAATAATAATTGTTAATTGCAACAAATTAAAAATAATTTTTTTCTTTTAGATTATTAGATATCGTAAGTCAAGAAAGAAAAATGTTATTAGTATTTGAATATCTTACTAAAGATTTGAAAAAGTATATCAAAGAACATAGATCAGTCAAAGCAGAAATAGATAAGCGTACAATTAAGGTGTTATATTTATTTTATGTGTATATATATGATTTACAAATAACCATTTAATATAATCTCATTCACATTTTATGTTCATATATTAGAAATTTATGTATCAATTAATTAATGGAACATTATATTTACATACATGTCGAATTTTTCATCGAGATTTAAAACCACATAATTTATTAATTAGCGCAGATGGGAATTTAAAGATAGCAGATTTTGGTTTAGCAAGAGCAACCAGTGTTCCGGTTAAGCCTTTTACACATGAAGTATATTACGATTTATCCCAAGATATAAAATCCATTTTTCGTTGATTACAACAATTAATTTTTAATGCTTTGCTAAATATTATTGTTTTTTTTTTTTTTTTTGTGGAAAAAGGTGATAACATTGTATTATAGAGCGCCTGAAATCTTACTTGGATCAAGCTATTATGCATATCAAGTAGATATATGGAGCATTGGATGTATTTTTGCTGAAATGTCTAATTTGTTTCCATTATTTCCTGGTAAAATATTAGTTACCATTGCCGTCTTATTATTATCATCTTTATAAACTTTTTTGCTCACTTACACTCATGATACATATGCGTGTTTGTTGTAGGTGACTCTGAGATTGATCAACTTTACAGAATTTTCAGTGTTCTCGGTACTCCAAATAAAATTATTTGGCCAGAAGTCATTTGTTTTCAAGATTATCAAACAGAGTTTCCACAATGGAACCCACAACCTCTTAATAAATATGTTCCAAAAATGGATATACATGCTATTGACTTGCTTCATGTTGGTGTTATTCTTTCTCTTATTTTCAAAAGTATTATATATATAAATTAAGCAAATACTAATTTAATTTAAATAATATTAACATTCAATTAAAGAAAATGTTTATGTACGATCCAATAAGGAGAATTTCTGCAAAACAAGCAATTAAACATCCATACTTCCATGGAATTGAATATTTATTAGATCAACCCTTACTAGATAATAGGCAGCAATAATAAATACTGATGCTGATAGATATATTTAAAATATTTAGAATAATAATTTCAAATTATTTATTTATTCATTTTAAATATAAACATACAATAAACAATAGTAATAAATAAATAATAATGATAATACACATTTAAGAAAGATAACTAAGCAGATAAACGTTCTTTTAATAGAGCTTTTAATTTTGCACCATCTTTTGCAAAATTTCGAATACCATCAGAAAGTTTTTCTGTGGCCATAGCATCTTCATTAAGTGCCCATCTGAAGCCTTTTTCATCAAAAGTAACTTTTTCTTCATACAATGTTTTAGCTAATTATAAATCAATATTAAAAATTATTATACAAGTATATTGACTGATTGATATATATGATGATATACATGCATCCCTATTACCATAAAATATATATATATATCAATCATAACTTACCATTTTCAGGACTTAAATTACGTTTAATGGTTTTAGTATCAGAATGTAATTGTTCTAATAATTTTGTATTAATAGTCAAAAAATCACAACCGTTCAGCTCTTCAATCTCCCCTGTGTTACGGAATGAAGCTCCCATAACAATAGTTTTATAACCATGATTTTTATAATAATTGTAAATTCTAATAACAGATTTTACACCTGGATCTTCTTTAGCTGAGAAATCATGTCCTGTACTTTTCTTATACCAATCAAGAATACGACCAACAAATGGTGAAATCAAAGTTGCGCCTGCTTCAGCACATGCAACTGCCTATTATATATGAGAAGAAAAGGGTGAAAAAGTAAATGAGTAAACAATTTTATAAATATGAATAAGCATTGACTAACTAGCTAAATATTTAATAGTAGTAACCTGAGGGAAAGAGAAAAGTAAAGTGAGATTACAATGAATCCCTTCTTTTTCAAGTATTTCGGCAGCTTTGATGCCTTCCCAAGTAGAAGCAATCTTGATTAATACTCTTTCTTTACCAATGCCAACTTCCTTATAAAGCCCAATCAAACGCTTAGCTTTAGCAATAGTTGCTTCAGTGTCAAATGATAAAATCGCATCCACTTCAGTTGAAACTCGTCCAGGAATAATTTTAAGGATTTCATTACCAAAATTAATCAACTGAAATTATATATGTGTAAACAAGTGAGCGATATATATTAAATGTTGTATGTCATATTATCATATTTCTCCTACTTACCAATTTATCTGTTGCTAATTCAACTTTTTCATCAATTGATCTATAATAGATATGTGAATATATGTTATAAAATGGATGGCATTGCATGCAACAATAGATGAATACGCAACGCAGATCAACAAATTTGATCAAAAGTCAAATTAATTACCCATTGCTGTTTTTAGCATATTCAATAGCAGAATCAATGAGGGGAGCATAATGAGGAATTTGTGTAGCTTGTAAAATCAAAGAAGGATTTGTTGTTGCATCTTGAGGTTTATACTTGGCGATTGCTTTTTGCATAAATAAGATTACGATTAATTGATGAAAAAGCTATTATTTGGATGCAAATTAAATGATAAAACGTAATAATAAAATAATAATTTATGATCCACAATTAATTTATTGAAAAAAATTCCTACACTCAAATTCACCGGTATCAGCAACAACGGTAGTGCATTGTTTAATTTGATCAAGAACAGAAGTCATTATTGTTTTTTTTTTGAAACTTTAGAATATGTATAATATGTATAATGATAATCATCATCTTTGTCGTTTTATTAATTAATCAGCAGTGTAACATCTATTGATTTTTCTTTTGATAATTTTTTTTTAAGGTAAATATAAAATATAAAATATAAAATAAGTTTTTTTGTTGAATATGATGAATACAATAATCAAGCTCAACAGTCTGAATAATAATAACAATTAAAATGTTGACAAACATTCTAAATTTTCTGATATCAAAATAACATTATAAAAATATTGTGGGTTTTTTTTTATATATATTTTTTTAAAAAAAAATTCTTCTCTCTCCTTTTTATTAATAAGTTAAGAAAAAGAAAGAAAAAAACACTCTTTAGGGAAAACTAAAAGAATATTCATTTCCACCAACAAGATTAAATGATTTAAACCAATTTGGATGAGTAATGAAAATGGGAAGGAAAGTTGGAAGGATTCATTGAGACATCTTTTATTGATAAATTGATAAATTGAATGTTATCAATGATACAATAAATAATTTATGTGAAAACAATAATTTTTAATCATCTTTATATTTTTTATATGTAATCCTAAAAGTAATAAACAAACAAATAAATAAATAATGTAACATAACAACAATTAATTAATAAAATAATTATAATAGTAACATTACCATTGAGCACCATATAATGACAATAGACCAATTGATCCTATGCCAATTTGAATTTTAGTAGCAGTTGGTTTTTTATAAATCCAACCAATCAACAATCCAGCTAAAGCAATATCTATAGTAGCACTTAGAATAATTGCACTTTTTGATAATTTGTTTTTCCTAGACTTTTTACTACCTCCTCCTCTTCCTCTCTCGCCTATTCCTCTAGATGTAATATAATTGTCATTGCTATCCGCAACAGTTGCATCATAATTTTCATTAAATTTATCTTCCCCTTCACTACTACTTACTATATCATAAGAAGAAGTGTTTAAGTAAGAAGTATTGGAAGTATTGGAGATATTGGAAAAAGTGGAGCTTGATAAAGATGCATCACTAACAATTAGATCTGCCTCCAAGTTTTCTGTTTCGTAGCTATCTTCTTGTTTTTTTAAAATTTCTGCAAAAGATGATGTAGCCATGTTTATTTTAAAAAAAGGAAGATTATTTAGCATACAATAAAATGTACAAATATTAATTAAACTGTCATTCATTCACAGTCAATCATCACCAAATTAATTAACTCCCGGTCCTAAACCGATCATCAACTATCAATTGATCCGTTTGTAATATTATATTTCTATTATATTTCTTATTTTGTACTTAAAAAACAAACTGTGGAGAGAGAAAGATAAAAAAAGAAACCACGAGGAAAATTTTCGTTAACATCATTTAACACCATGTTGTTTAAAGATTGTTTTGTGATTTAGTTTTTTATATGAATTTGTGAAATTAATTTGGTAAAGAAAGAAATATTTTTACTAAAAAAGAAAATAATTGTGCAACAATAGATATTTTTTCCTGCATTAGTGCAATTAGGAAACAATAAAAAAACAATCTTTATATTTTACTATTCTTTTAAATTAGGGTTTTTTTTTTCTTCAACAATTCAATCTTTCTTCACCCATCCATTCACACGCATTCCGTACTTTCTTTCTCTCTTGCATATAATAGAGATGATGATAATACACACGACGCACACACACGCATGCATGCATAATAAATTAGAATTTTTGATTCCACCAAATTTGTTGTTAATCCTCAAACCTTGAATTAAACAAGTTTCTTTAAAAAAATGTCTCAATTATATTTTAATGCATACATAATCTAAATCTTTTTTACTTTGAGATGAATGCAACTTGAAAACATCGTTTGATAAATAAATATGGCTGGAAAATCAATCCTGATTGTTATTATGCTAAATAGTCAAATTCAAATTCTTTATCTCGTAAATATCCATTCTTTTTATTTATTCATTCACAAATACCATATTAAAAAATCATTGTTATTTCTCCCTTTACCATCACAATATTAATGTTTTATTACACCAAAAATTAACATTACACTAGTGCCAAATTTAGATCCTTGTTTACCCGATTTAATGTTATTAATAATAAGCGTATTCTTTTCTTCTTCTATTTATACACATTTATTACTTCATAGATAAATTTTTTTGCTTATTAAAAAAACCGAGAAATTTTTTAAAATTCAGGAGCAAAAATAAAACTCTAATTAATATATTTAAGAACCACGTTACATTTTTGTGTATAATTACGCCAAAAAATTCTTATATATATAAACAAGAATTTTTTTAAAATTTTCAAAAATTTATTGTTTTTTTTTCTTTCTATAGATTATATATAATAGAATATATTTATTATAAATATACCTTTTTTGTTATCATTATTTATAGATAAATAAAAAAAATCTTTAATATTTACAATATTTATTAATTAAAAAAAATGCTTTTATTAAAATATAACTCATTACCCTCTGACGAGTTAATAACATGCGAAAGTGTAAGTCTCTTTTTCTTTTTTTATTTCCCAAACATTTCGTACAACGATTATTATAACGCAATACTAATTCTTTTATTTCTTCTCTCTTCGCTTATTGTAGACAATGTTGAAATTTTTGGACAATAAATTGTCTTTTGACACTGGAATGTACTTTAATGTATGGCGTTGGTCAATACCAGAATTGTATGGTATATTGTTGGGTATGATGGTGAGATTGGATTTGAGTGGTTGTTTACAAATACAAGAGTCTGAAATGTTGGATTTTATTATTGATGTTGAAAAGGGTTACTTTACCACCGACTATCATTCATTCTATCATGCAGTGGATGTTGTGGCTGTGTTATACTACATGTTGAATGATTTAGGTGCTGCAAAATATTTGACTCCCTTGGATTCAATTTGTTTGATGATAGCTGGTTTGTGTCATGATGTAGGTCATCCTGGTTTAAATAATGTTTACCAGGTTAATGCAAGAACACCTTTGGCACTCAAATATAAAAACGAATCTGTATTAGAAAACTATTCTTGCACATTGACAATGGAATTATTGTCAAAACATAAATTATTTCGTAATTTGCACAACAATAATAATCATAACAATGAATTCCAAGGAATGGATCCACAAATAATTGATTCAACTTTGAAAGTTTTAATACAGGAAATAATTTTGGCAACTGATATGAAGCATCATTATACTCTATTAGAAGATTTACATAATATTATTCAATCGTCGTCATCTTCTTCTACTACAGACATCTATTGTTCTTCTTCGTGTTCTTCTAGCGATTCTTGTGGCGAAGAAATGGATAATAATAGTAGTAGCAGCGGCATTGGCAGCAGATGTTGTTATTCGTCGAGTTCCTCCACTTTCACCTCACCCGAATCTTCTCCAACATCTACTACATCGCCTTCAAGACTATTTCCAACAACACCAACACTGCTGGATAAAGATCGACGTTTGATTTTATTAAAGGTTTTACTTCATGCTGCTGATCTGAGCAATACTGTACGTCCATGGGAAATATCTAAATGTTGGTCTGATTGTGTTGTTGAGGAATTTTTTAAACAAGGTGACTTGGAAAAACTAAAAAATCTGCCTGTATCTCCAAATATGGACAGAGAACAAACTCATCAGTCACAAATAAGCCTCGGTTTTGGTGATTATGTTGTAAAACCATATTTCGAAGCATTTGCTTTATTCCTAAATCAAGCTAAAATCTTTCTTGACACTTTGGCAGAAAATCGTGTCTGTTGGGATGAAATGAATAATAACCAAAACAAGGCCAATGATGTCGATAATGTTAATGAGAATGATCCACAATTAAGTCCCTCTTCAAAATCATCATCGCCATCATCAGCATCTGATTTAAAAACAAAATCGCCAATATCGTCAACAAAACCATTATCTGACATTTCCATTACTCCTAATAAAATTCCAACAATGTCCATCACCATTCCATCACCTTCAAAGCCATCACTATCATTATCACCGTCACCATCAATTATAGGTCAACAACGTCGTGTAAGTTTGGCTGCTGGTCTACTTATTATACCAGATGACATCCAGGAAAAATTATGTCGAATGTCAACCCCGCATACTTCTTATGTGACAAAAAATCGTCATAATCTTCATGATAATAATGTTACTAACAATAATAGTGGAAATATGAGACGTACCTTGTCTGGTAGATCTTATAGTAGTAATGCGTTATTAATGTCAACATCGACGCCTTCATCATTATCGTCTAACATTACTGGTAGTATTAGTAATATGAATAATACCGGTTGTGTTAACGATTATGGTTGTTGTGATCTTGACGATGATCTTGTTGATAAAAGCAAAAAATCTAATGTTCGTCGAAAGTCTACTACACATCACCTACATCATCACAAGCATCATAATTGTCATTATCATCACCAACACCATAAACATCATCATAAAAATAATAAAAATAATAATAAATTTAATGTTATCAATAATCTTCATAATCAGCATCTAATTCATTCATCATTAAATATCACATCTCCTTCAAAATAAATAAATAGATAATAGATAGATAGATTAATTATTGCATATATCCGCATACATTACACATATTATTATATATACATTCAAATACACATACACATACACATAATGCATACATATATATATATATATATATATATATACGCTATATACACTCAACAAAAACACTCACATCATTCTTAAATACACATGCACATTTACATATAATCACAAAAAAATTTTTTGCATTTAATAATAATAATTAATAATAGATAAAACTTTTCAATCAATGTAAATTTTTTACAATTATTATTATTTTTGTTTATAACTTTTTTCTTTTTCTTTATAAATACACACATATATACAAAAGCTTCTCTTTTTTTTTATAGAAATCAAAATAAATAAATAAAATAATTACATAGAATTATATATAAATATAAATATTTCTTTGAAAACAAATATAAAGGTCAATTGGGAGTTTTTTTGAAATGAATCTGTTAAATTAAATTCTATCTATCATATAACAATTAAGGATTTGGACAACTGAATGTGTGGAATTTAAACCTTTTCCAATTCTCTCTATGTCATATTTGATTATAAAAAGAATTTACATTTACATCAAAAACACTAATTAACAAAATAAATATTATTATTATTAAAAAATATTAAATGTCTACTAAAAAGGAAAAATTTTCAACTCGTTCCTTCTCACTCGCTATGCTTTACAATTGCACAGCCTCCTTATCCAATCTACCTAATATTTCTCCTATTCTTCCTAAACTAAACTCATCCTCAAGATCATTATCAAATTCTAATATCGTTTCCACAAGATCATCCACTTTATCAAGATCAATCTTACAACAAGTAGAAATAATTTGTTTATATTGTAATTCTGCATTTAATGACTTCTCTTGTAATCTCTCAATTTCGCGTTGAAGTAAATCCTTATCTATTTGATATGCTGATAATTGAGCTTGAAGTATTTTTAAATCTTTTTCAGACATTTTACTTTCGCCATCACCACTACTAGTAGCCATTTCAACATCGACAAACATTTCTGACGAATTCATTACTGCCCGGTTTGAATTGTTTATTATTGATGATTTTGTTGATGTTGTTGGTGCAATTATTGGTGGTGTAATTGATATTGACGGCATGTCAATGTTTTTATGTTGAGCTGGCTCTGTTGATGATAATGTTAATGATCTTGTGTTTGATGAAGATTTTGGTAGCAGTGATAGTGTTGTGGGAACAGATGCCATTCCATCATTCAATGTAGCCCTATTCATTAATGATGATAATGATAATGATGGTGGTGAATCTATGTCGTTATTATTATTAGTAATTGCTGTGGTGGTGGTGGCAGATTCAACCGATTCATTACTATTATTTAGAATATTTTTTATTCTTAGGTGTGTATGTAGATGTGATAGCGATTGTGAATTTATTGGTCGTGGTTGATGCAAAAGTTGTTGCTTTTGTTGTGATAATATTTGTGGTGGTAATGATGCAATATTTATTAAACTATTAATGTAAATGTTATTTTGTTGATTTGATGACATTGATGCTAATGCTGATGCTGTAGAAGAAGTTGTTGTTTTTAACAAAGAATTATTATTGTTGTTGTTGTTGTTGTTGTTACTATTATTGATATTGATATCGATATTGATATTATTATTATTGTAGCTATTATTGTTATTGTTGTTGTTGTTATTATTATTATTACTAGCGCTACTTTTGTTATCCACCACAGGTTTCTTTAATAATGCATTGTCATCATCGTTTATTTTACATTTCCTATGAATAGAGTATTCATTAACATCATTTTCCTCTTTTTCTACTTCAACAAGTACTTGCTCAAGAAACTTTAAATATTCCTCTATATTATTATATTCCTTTTCATTTTGGCGATAATATTTTAATGATCGCTTCAAATCAACAAGTTGTCTTGTCAAATCATTAAATTTACTTTGAACATTAAACAATTCATCTTCTTTGACCTTAAGTTGTACTACCCATTCATTCTCTGCATCTTCCACGAGTGTTTGTAATGCTAAAAAAATTATAATTAGATCATTTATGAAATTAATTTATAAAAATAAATAATAAACTTCCAATAACCTTTTTTTATTTTTTTTACCTGAAACAACTTCTCTAGATTTTCTATGATCATTAGTAAATGGCGTAATTGATTGAGAAAAGAAATCCGATACATTTTCTTGAATCATGTCTACATTCATATCTTCCCTTGCACCTTTCATATCCTTTATTATTTTTAATTAAATAAATATATATATATATACACATCTATATACGTAAACTCCCATCCCCCATATATAGATTTGTAAAGATATACATACATGAACTTCTTCTTCATAATCATCATTGTTTAATGTATGAAAATCAAAATCAGAAGGCTTCAACCCAAGCTTATTTTGAATTTCAACATTGGCACCCATCTTAATCAACTTCTCAACCAACTCATTATCTCCTACTCTTGCAGCAATACATAATGCGGTATCACCATTTTTGTCTTGAATATCCAGAATAGTATTGAGAAACCCGCAAACGTTTGATTGAAACCATTCCGCCAAACAACCCATATAATATTTTGATGCTGCTGCATGCCCTCTAACACCTGAAGACATTGCAATATGATGAAACACTGACCGATTATTTTTATCAGTAATTGGGATTGTGTCGTGAAGTAGCTTTACCACTTGTGGAAATGACCGAGAATCACAATTATTTGTCACAAATACAGATCTGGTCAAAGCGGTCTCCTCATCATAATTTACTTGTTGTAAATTAGCACCTCTATTCAACAAAATTTCCAAAATATTTACTCTTCCTAAACATGCAGCCCAATGTATTGCAGAATTCCCATGACTATCAATCACCATGTTTATATCTGGTTCAGATGAATTTTGAGAAACCAACAAGTCTGGTATTGATTCTGGCTCTTCATTCAAAAATATTGTCATTAAAATATTCTTGAGACGTTCACCCTCATCGATTTCAGGTGGTGGTGAATTGGTTACCGTTGCTGATTCACTAGCAGGTTCTGAACACGTTAGAGCTGACAAATCTTCATCTTCATCGTCATCATCATTATCATTATTCCCAACATTACTATTAATACTATTATTAGTACTCAGAATACTAATTTTATTGCCCTTGTTGGAACGTTCATTAGTTTTATTTGGGGTGTGTGGAGATGATAAATAAGGAATATCGTATTTTGGTGGTTTGTATTCAAAAAGAGGACGCAAAGTTTCAAGCACACCATATTTTGTAGCAAGTTCTTTACCTCTTTCAAAAGGAATCCTAAAAAATCAATACATATGATGATGATGATAAAATTATTATGTATGTAAATGTGCAATAATCATATAATTTCAACTAATTATTACCATTAATGATTCTTACCAAGTTCCTTGATACTTTCCATAACCTCCTTGTACTTTTTCATGAATACCTGTTAATATTTCTTTCTCAATGATTTTTGCACGTTTACTCTTATCCATACCTGCTACTTTTAGAATTTGCGTTGCATTCAAATAAGAATCCGGACATCTACGCATAATAACGACATCTTTGACAAAATACTCATAAACTGTTATTCCAGAATATACTGCTGAATATATTGATCCAGGAACTTGCTTCGGGTTTAAAGGTAGAGAAGAATTCAGTAACTGTTGAATTGTTGATGATGTACCATCACTACTATTATCAACAATTTTTTCTGTAGCATCAGTAGCGCCTTTTTAGGAAAAAATTTACATGAGCTGTTAAGAAATGGATACATTCATTCTTTTCAACCTTTACATTCAGTTATTAGTGTCAAGTAAATAAATACCTTGCATCGAAGAAAATTTTTATATGATCTAGCAGAGAAAATATTACATTAAATAGTAATAATAGTAATAGTAATAGTCAAAATCCTGCGTGTAACACAAAAAAGTTATATTCTCGATACAATTGATATTTTTTATATTTATATGTATGCGTGTATGTATGTATGTATATGTATGTATATAAATATATATGTATTATATATATATATTTTTTTTAATTATTATTAACATTATTGTAAAGAAAAATTAATAAAAATATAATAATAAAATGAAAGAAAAATTTTTTTTATGGCAAGCCAAAGTCTCTTGAACCCAGTACCCTACGATGATTATTAGTATTACTACTATTACTACTGCTGCTGCTGCTGCTGCTACTACTACTACTATTATTATTACTATTATTATTATTAATACTATTATTGTTACTATTATTATTATTGTTATTATTATTATTATTATTATTATTATTATTATTATTATTATTATTATTATTATTATTATTATTATTATTATTATTTATATTATTATTATTATTTATATTATTATTATTAGTATCCTGATACCATATAGATTGTTGTTGTCCATTATTTATACCCCAAATATCCGGCGATGTTGCTGAAGCAGCAGCAACAGAAGAATTTGTAGTTGATGAAGATCCTATACTACCAATAATATTAATATTATCATTGTTATTATTACTATTATTACTATTACTTCCAACAGCATTACTACTATTGCCACCACTAACATTTTTACTACCACCGCTACCAATTATAGATGACACCGTATCACCCAATAAACTATCTGCCCCACCATGTTTTCTTAACAGAGACCAGTCACTATCTATTGCAGGACGCTTTAATCTTTGTTGAGATGATTGTGTTGACTGTGATGCCTCTAAAAAAAATTTCTTTTTAATCATAAAATAATAAAATTTTAAAAATATTAAATCATTAAATAACTAACCTGTTGCAGGCAGCGAAAACAATGAGGTAGAAAAATATGAACTTTCTGCAACACTCTGCCTTCTATTTGGAATTGGTATAGGCTGATCACCATTGAGCAAAGCACTAGAACCAACCATGTTACCAAAACCAGGCGGAGGCGATTTTGCACGAGATTCTAAACTATGGCTTGCCGAACCAGATCCTCTTCTTGGACGTTGAATAGGATTTGGTCGTTGCACTGCCTTCGTATGACTATCATCTGATGTTGGTACACGACGATGTCCAATAGGTGGAATAGGATTACTTGTCACTACACTAGATCCAATATGCGATGTTGTTGATTGACCAACAACCTGTGTGCCTAAATTAAATGTTTGTGTGCCTAATGGGTTTTGACTTCCTCCTAACGTCAATCCACCAAAGGCACCAGGTGGATTATTTACTCCATTACCACCTGTATTTGTATTCGAAATATCATTTAGTATTGATGGCGGAACGCCTGTACCAGGCTGCATATGTGACGTGGTACCAATAGGATTGTACCCTCTTGGTGGCATAGTTTGTCTCATTGTTTGATGATGAGAATGCAGTTGAACTGGTGGTCCACCGTGATGTTGATGGTGTGCTCCCATGCCAATAGGGCCTGTAGGAGCATTGATAATTCCAGTCGGCTGACCTCCGTATTGAGTTTGTGTATTTGTCTGATTGAATAAAGGAATTGCGGTTGGAGTTGACGGTTGAGAAGGTTGTTGTGACATATGTGAATTTAATGGATGTTGTGAATTTATAGCCGGATGTTGTTGATCATGTAACACCCAATTCACCGGGTTATTTGAAACATTAACAGTTGATTTTTGTATTGATGGATTATTAATTGACTGCTGCTGCTGATGATGTATGAGTGATTGCAATGATTGTTGCTGTTGTTGAGAAGATTGTTGAGGTGGCAATGTTTGCTGCTGCTGCTGCTGCTGCTGCTGCTGCTGCTGCTGTAAATGTGAATGAAGCTGATGTTGTGACGATGAAGGAGTTATTGGCGTTAATGGGGGTATTGGAGTTATTGGAGTTATTGATGATGGCGGTATTTGTTGAACAGATGTAACTGGTTGTAAAACTAAAGGTTGGATTCTTTTACGTTCATAATATTGCCTTGATTGAGACGATGTTGATGATGACGAGGATTGATTTGGTATTTGTGATTGTAGTAGTAATTGCTGCTGCTGTTGCTTTAATAAATGCATTGACAATTGTTGTTGCTGATGTTGATGATTTTGATTTTGCTGTTGATTGTGATTATGATGCTGTTGATTATGCTGATGTTGTTGTTGCTGCTGTTGATGATGATGGCTTTGTTGTTGATGATGATGCTGATTTTGTTGATTAATATTATGAAGATGACTTTGTTGTTGTAGTATTGCTAATGATGTAGTACTAGTAGCGGAAGATGAGGAGGGATGTTGATGGTGAGGAGATTGAGAAGGATATTGTTGTTGATGATGGTGGTGTTGTTGATTAGATTTAATATGTTTCTCATGTTCTAAACGGTCCTTCCTTTCTTTTTCTTCACGTTCTTTCCTTTCCTTTTCTACACGTTCCTTTAGTATTCTTTCTTCTTTCTCTTTACGTTCAGCCTCCTCTTTTTCTTTTTTCTCGCGTTCCCTACGTTCCTTTGCTTCTTTTTCTTTTCTTTCTTTATCTTCGCGCTGACGGCGCTCTTTATCTTCACGATCCCTACGAGATTTTTCTTCACGTTCTTTACGATCTCTTTCTTCACGTTCTTCACGTTCTTTACGATCTCTTGCTTCTTGTTCTTTTCTTTTACGTTCCTCTTTCTCTTTCTCTTCTTTTATTTTACGCCTTCTTTCTTCTTCTTTCTTCAATCTTTCTTCTTCTCTTGCTCTTCTTTCAGATTCTTTTTTTAGACGCTCTTCTTCACGTTTTTTACGATCTTCCTCGGCTTTTTTTTCACGTTCAGCTCGTATAGCAGCTTCTTCAGCCAACCTTTCAGCTTCTTTTTTAGCTTTTTCCTCCTCTTTTTGTTGTTTTATGGCTCTAATTAAATTAGAGAAAAGTTTAAAGACTGTTTTTTTTTTTTGGAGAAATAAAAATGTTTGTTAACTAATAAATTAAAGTAAAATTCTTTCAGATTTAAAATACCTTTTTTTATCTTTTTTACGTTCTTTTTCCTTTAATTTTTTGAGCTCACGTTCCTCCTTTAATCTATTTTCTTCCTCTAACTCTTCAAGTAATTTTTGTTGCCTTTCTTGCGCGACCTATATATATATATATATAATATTAATTAACATATATAAATTAAAATAACAAAAACAAAAATTTATGCATGCATGTATGTATACAAAATTAAATAACCATTACCTTTTCTCTGTAGGCATTTAATACTCTTTGTTCAAACATTCTAGCAGCAAATATTTGAAACATTCTCCTACCCTCTTCCATACGTTGCTCTTCAGTTTGCGGATCCTCATCACCATACTCTTCATCATCATCTTCATACTCTTCGTCGTCGTCGTCATATTCTCTTGATTCCATAGCAGCTTCTTCTTCTCTTTGCATTCTGCGCTCTGCAAGACGTTCCATCATCTCAAGAAATTTTTTGCCGCCATTTTTTAGAAAATCGTCAGCCACAGTTAAAATACCACCTTCTAATTTTATTGCATTTTAAATTATAATTTTTACAAAAGGATTTTTTTTTTAATTATTAAAATAATTATTAAATATATATATATATATATATATATATATATATATATATATATATTTAGAAGCAAACCTTTAACAGTTAGACTACTTCCAAAATTAAATATTTCTTTTCTTGTTTCACTATCGTTTTCACTTCCTTCATATTCATCGTCATCGTCATCATCTTCATCCTCATATTCCTCCTCATCATCGTCATCGTCATCGTCATCGTCATAATCAACATCATTACTATCATCATTACTATTAGTATTACTATTGCTATGATTATTGTTATAGTTGCTGCTACTACTACCACCATTTCTATACTCAATGGCAGATGGGCCAAATTGTTGCTGACTTGCATATGATTTCAATTCTTCGTAATAAGATTCATAAAGTGTTTCCAATTCTTCTTCAATTGCATTTCTAATTTTTAAATAAATTTAAATTTCAATTTAATATTTAATTAATTTTAAAATATAAATAACAACAATAAAATTCGTTCTTTACCTTTTTCTACCACATACAGAACATGAACAAGAATGCTTTTGTTGTTCTTTCATTTTTTTCAGTACGGCTTCTTTTTCCACTTTTACCAAACTTCTCCTTTCTTCTTCGCCTAATTGTAACCAAAATTCTCTTATCCTTTGACGTTCCTCATTATTGTTTGTATTCCAGATACCATCCTTACGAGACTTATGACTATGACTGTGATTATGATTGGGATGAGTGAGAATATCATTATTTTGATTACTAATTGATAACGTATTTTTACTTTTCTTCTTTTTCTTTTTCTTCTTTGCAACAGCTGAAGAAATATTATTATTGCTATTAAGACTTGGATTGTTATTATTGTTATTGTTATTGTTATTATTGTTATTATTATTATTGTTAATGTTGCTATAATCATTATTATTATTTGAAGTGGATGACGACGATGAAGAAGTTTTAGACGTTAGGTGATGGTGATGGTGATGATGATGATGACTTTGGAGATGTTGTTGATAATGATGGTGATGGTGATGATGAAGATGATTATTATTAGTATGATTATTTTCTGCATCGTTACTACTAGTAGTAATTGAATCTTTACGTGGATAAGGCAACATTTCAGGAGCTTCAGGATCATAACCATCATCTTCCGAGAAGAATTCTTCGTCGTCTTCGACATTTTCTTCACCTTCATAATCACTTGTACAATTTATAGGTCGAGATTTCATTAATTGATTATGCGAACCATTAACCATCGTGTCATTATCATTGTCGATTTCATTATGATTATGATTAATATTTATATCGGTTTCTTCAATATGATCGGGCAAGTTTTTCTTTTTGGCTTTTCTTCTCTTTTTCTTTTTATTATTGTGGTTATTACTGTTGTTGTTGTTATTGCTAAGATTATTGTTACTACTGTTATTACTATTGATAAGCATTATTTATTATATTAAGAATATTACTATTAGAATTATAATAATATACGATTCACTTTTTTAAGTTAAAGATTATGAAGATTAATAAAACTTTGATGGGTTTGAATCAAGGTTTGAATACGTGAATGGTTGTATGGTTGTGTATTTATAAATTTATATATATATTAATTGTTATAATTTCTTGTTGAATCCAGTAGTTAGTTGGTTGGGTAGAGTAGGTTTGGTTGATTATTTTAGCAAATAATTTTTTTACCAAAAAAAAAAAATAGGGGACAGAATATAATGAAAAAATTTCGAATTTACCACAGTGATTATATCGAAATTTTTGATCAAAATATATTGTGCGACAATTACTTATTATTATTGGATGAGTTTATAATTCACTAATATTACTATTACTAGTTGTCGAGTCTGCTTATTATTAATAATGATGATAATAAATAATAAAATTTTTTTGCGATTAAAGAAAAGTTTCACAATCAAAAAAAAAAAATAATAAGAGAAATTCATCAATAAATATGTCATTATCTCAAAATTATATAATAAATATATTAATCGCAGCGTCGCACAGATCAACAGATAACTTTTTTAATTTATATCTTTCCCTCTTCTCTCAATTGAATTTAATATGAAATGTTCTGTTATGATTTAAAGCTATACGTGATTTATTAATTAATATTTCTAATTAAATATTAGTGATAGAAAAATTACAAATAATCCAAAATCCTTTAAAAAATTAATTATTATATATATATATATATATATATATATTATAGACTTGCATTTCCCATAATAAAATAAAATATAAATGTTAAAACCGACGAATTAATAAATGATTATTCAGTATCAACCCAATTACTTGCAATTCTTCCAATTATTGGCACTTCATATCTATCCAAACTCTCTCCGTCCACATACGCTTTATGTCTAATATGTATAATATATAAAAATTAATATCAATAATAAATCTTATATATAAATATAAATTATTAAACTCACCCAAGATATCCGATTAAGAATAATTCAATGATAAAAAGAATCCAACTTAGAAATGTGCTAATGAAAATTAGAATAAAGTGTAATAGCTACAAAATAAATAAATATATTAATTAAATAAATTATAATAATGATCTAATAAAAGATTTTAATAATAAAACCACTTACAAAAATAATTGAAAATAATAATGAAGACTTTTTTTTAAAAAAATTTGTTAATGCAGAATTAATTAATCGATTTAGAACTAACGTAAAATCTCAATCTATTATAAATAAATGACAACTACCTGCCATGCATGAAATCTAACATAATCATTTTTATGTTCAAAAATCAGGAAAAATACACCTTTAAAAATTTTATATGATTAAAATAATAAATCATAAGTTAATAAATGAATAAATCGATTAATTAATGATAAATTTCACTTTACCTGTAACACAACCCAAGACATATGTTAATGCTGCTTCAATATCCACCCTTATTGGCATTGAAGTTTCATATTTATTTACTCTTATTGTATCTTCTGGTATTTGTTCAGTTGTTCTATAGATTCCTGCAAAAGGATTTGCTGAGGCACTTCTGCTACTGCTACTACTGCTGCTACTGCTGCTACTGCCACTACTAACTGCACTAATTTTACTAACACCACTAATTCCTTTACCTCCTGCACTTTTACTACTTGTTCCAATTCCTCCAATTCCTCCACCGTTACCAGTACTGTCACCACCACTGGTTGAACCAGTTGGTATATGAGAGTATCTTATCGAAGATCGATTAGATTTTTGTTCATCTGGTGGTGGTGTATAGGGTGAAAACGATGCTGGATTCTGATACGACATTATTAATTATTTATTTTTGTATTGTGTGATCTATCTATCTATATATCAATGACCAGTTTTATAGTAGTACAAATGTAGATCTAATAGAAAACTAATTATAGGATTGGAACCGAAATTTTTTAAGGGCATTCTTTTAAGCTATTATAACGAAATCCTCCGTCTATTATATGGTCCTCTAAATTTAGCGAAAAAGATTGCAATAACCATTTTTATTAAAACAGATTTCAAAGAAAACGTCATTATATTAGAGTTCAACCATATTCAGTATTTTATTAATGGACCAAACTCGTTGGTCTCAATGAACCCCGGGTCTATTTCCAACATATATAATAACAACCCAATTTTTGCAATTGAAATAAATGATAAAAATTATTTTAAAATGAATCATAGCTAATATTTTTTTATGTTTGATGAACTATTCATCTCTTCCATCCAACTAAACATTATTCCTGTGTCATTTCTAAAAATATCGTGAATTTTATATTGTTGTGAAAAGAATAATCACCTGTTTGTTCTTAAAATTTTATTTATTTATATTTTTTACGAATATTGTCATACTAACAATACAAAAAAGAAAATTCCTGCAATTTTCTTCTTATCACATAAAATTTGTGAAATATCCCTAATAATAAAAAGTATAAATATTAGTTGGTATTAGCGTTGTGTTTTTTTTTTATTTTAAAATATTTCAATACTAATTAATAATTTGCCCATTATATGATGCAATATACTGATTTTACAGCTACCTCAACATTGTGCGAACCGCAAACAGGAGTTCACAGCCTCTGCTACTACACAATGAGCCGACTTACACAACTGAGGTAATGGGGTCAAAGACCATAAAAAAATCACTATCTTTTTATCCTACGAATTAATGAGACAAAAGATGGAAGTTCTTATTATTGTTAAAAAAAATAAAATTGAAAAATGTAAAGATTCTTCTTGATATAGATTTGGCTTAAAAAGAATTATAAAAATCAGTTGTGGCAAGACTAAATATTAATATTTAATCTAATAATTATAATTAGTAAACTTGTCACAACGGTGGACTGTTAATATTCATCCCGTGTAACCAAATTTAACCACCAATCAAAATTCGAAAACTTAGTCATGTGCGTAATGTATCACGTGAAACCGACTTTACGGATTAATTTAATATAACAGTAGGACAATTGTAATTGAAGTCATAGGTACTATGCTATAATAATTTACACAATATCTACTCTGTGATTTACCAAAATAAATGCCCTCAAGCATCATAGTAAAAAAAGTTTCTTTTATAGAGATAAATCTTTTGACACCAAAATCACATTGTTGATGGTTAAAACTTGAGATAAAGCCCTGTTACACACGGGTAAAAATGATCAAAATTTATTAGAGCCATGGAACTCTGGTGTCAAAAGATTCTTTTTTCTAAAGAACCATTTTTTATTATGAGATTTGGAGACATTAACTTTATCAATCATGTATTCAATATGATTCAAAAAATTTCTGCGCCAAAAACACAATATAACTAACTGTCTGGGGTCCTTTAGCAGTCAAACAATTTATCACATCAGTTGAAATTCTAACTCTGGTGTAACCAATCATTATTAATCTATTAATCAAAAATAAAAGTATGTTATTATGAAACCTCTCTCATATTGATGGAGTCTCTCCATTTCAAAGCTATAGTTATTCAAAAACAGCATTACTTTTTACTTCAAAACTATGATTTTTTTTCTAATATTACTTTTATAAATGAAAAATATTGTAAGCTTTCATATGAGTATAGCTCTATGTGATGTCAATACACAAAAAGGAAAAAAACGTGGGCATGAGATCATAAGGCGTAACGACCAAAAAGAGATAATTAATTTCCAAACACGGTGATTTGGTTGATAACCTTTATTTATGATTTTATGGAATAAAAATAAATTTATCATTATCATTATTATTAATTTCATAAATTCTTTTGATTTTTCTTATGAGAAATGATTGTCAACGGCTCCGCTCATAGAATGATCACAAAAAATATCCTCTATCAACACTATGACTTGAAAGGTGACAGCAGCACTATAATTCGGGTTATTAAATTTAAACCCAAAAAAGGAAACTCAGCCTGAAAAAATGTCACCATAAGGACTACTCATTAAGGTTCACGTTAATATAACAATTTTCTCCTTTTTTTTTTTAATAAATATTTGATGTTGATCACGCGATAAATCAATTATGCAACAATTATGCATTATTCGGCAATTTTACTTATTATGCAATAATATTTGCAAATTGCATAAAATCATCGTCCCTGTTAATAACTTTCCCCAATTTTTTTTTATATTAATATAGAAAAAGGAATAAAATTGCGTCAAATTTGGTGGAGATTGCTGAGCATAAAATTAAGGTTTGTGGCTAATTTTATTAATGTTGATCACCAAAAAATTTGAAAAAACACCGCAATTTTATTATTATATAGATGACTTATCGAATTTTTTAAAAAAAGGGTATGAAAAATTTTGGCCAAAACCAATTTATCACGTGTATATAATAATAAAATATAAAAAAAAAAAAAAAAAACTGTCACTATGAATCCAATAATAAAATTGGAAGTGCATGAGAGCAACTTACCATTTATTAACTCAAAAATCGACAAACTAGGTCTACTTAAAGTTAATACTCATGCACCTAAATGGTATTCTCGCTCGATTCAATGGCTAGTTATCAGGTGTGTGTATATATATATTACCGAGTTTGGAATTTCTAAATACTGTAATGATTGGCGTTCTAGAAATTGTTAATTTACCATGCGACATTGGAAGAAAAATATGATTGGCTAATTTTTGTACGTCAAACAAATGATTTTTTTTTTGAAACCTGGCAAGAGCTTATTAAACAGTCATATAACTTCCAATATGCGTATAACTTTATACAGGGTCACCCAGGATTAAGCAATGCCAAAAGATGTTGATTTTCAATTCATATATAAAGCATTATTGTTATAGTTCAACTTATAATAATTTTTATTCATTTAATAGAATCTAAATAAAATAATAATATCATTGGAAATAAGTTTATAAATAAATTTCCTTGCCAATTATATGAATACTCATATATAATTCACTCTCTATAATGGATCTTTCACAAATCTTGCTCTGAGAATTTAAGCCCAATTTATATCTCCATATTAATATATAAATCTCTTTATAATGGGCATTTTTCCTATGCAAAATGGTCCATATAAAGAGAGTGAACTACAGATTCTGGTGGATTTTTAAAATATATATTCAAAAAAATTTATTTCAATTATTATTAATAATAGTTTTTTTTTCACGGGGCATTAACTCTTATGAATTGATCGACAAAGAGGTCACCAGACTCGATTTCTAAATTTGGTAAAAAATTAATAAATATTCCGTACATATGGAAATTTCGTGACAATATTAATATAGAAGTGTCAGTTGTTTGAATGAACCGTTCTCATCCTATTTTCTGATAGATTATAACCACTAACTCCCGTGTACCGCTAAATTTGAGGAGAATTACAGTACCTTTAAAATTATAACCAGTGTTGACGGAATCGACGGGTGTACGTTATATCCCACAAATTTGTACTAGGTTGCAGTTGAATTTTCAACACTGATTGATTAGATTATCTCAAAAGATTGTTCTGCCGAGATTAAAATCAAATTTATATGGCAAATTTTTTTTACATTTCATCAATCCAACCAGAAATGATGTTACATTTAACAATCTTACTTCTGCCCTTTAAAAAATCCTGTACGGAAAATATATTGAAATACTAATACTGAAGTGCGAGAAAATGGTTTCCATATTAATATTTAATACAGAATGTATATGGAGCACATTTTAATATAAAATTTATATTTCCAAATCAATATGTTTCCGGTATGTATTTCATAGGTTTTTAGATAAAGACAAACGGAAAGGCGCTGCATTTTATGTATGGTAAAAACCAAAAACATATGAAAAATGTACTATTTTTCCATAAAAACTTTTAGAGGGCTGCTGTTCTAGATCTTGAATTATCGTTTACAAACAATGATTTTAATTGCCGGCAATCATCCATAAAATAATCTTGAAGTTTTCCATACACTTTTAGTTTAAAATGTTCTTTGAATGATGAAACTTTTTCACGAAAATTTGCAGAGATACCTTATGAATGGAATGATTAATAACTTGCAATTCACCTTTTAATCTGATGAATCATAAGCTGTCCACATTGAAAATTGTTTTTCTCTAAACCTCTATTTGTCAATTCCCCATTGAATGTCACAATTCCAAATAAATCTGTTTTTAATAAAGATGCAAGCAATAATCTATCCATATCTTGAAATCGTCAGTTCTTAAGAAAAATTCAAAATGTCCAACAATTAATTCATTAAAACACTCTTGAAGTAAACTGAATGATGGATATTCTGATGAAATATTAATTATATTTGCATCAATCCATTCATTCTCTTCCGTTGATGAATTAATATTCAAAATTTCATATGCTTTCAACAAATAACGATAATAGTTGATGTTTTTTTAAAAAAAATAACTTGGGATAAGAAATCGAAATAAAATAATCTCATTGTCAAATTTTTTTTTCACTCAATCGTTTTAAATGAAGAAAATCTTGCTTTTAAACGGTTTAATGAGCTTTAAAGACTTTAATACCCCGATCGGGTCCGATTTTGATTCTTACATCATAAAGGTCTGATTCATTCAACAAATCTGTTAAGTCACTACTAATTGGTTTACTGATATGATTTATTAGTAAAACATCCTGATAATAAATTATAAAATTATTAAAGAAACATTTAAAAGACGCAAAACGAGTTTTGTTTTTGTTTTTAAAAAAAATTGGGCTACTATTTAATTTAGAGAATCCAAAATACCAGTCAACTGTTATGATGGATGATATGCCTATATTATATGCTAAAAAGATACACACATTGATCGAGCATATACAATTAATTATATGTATATAGTAATAATTCATTAATTTTTTTACTTGAAATGACATACTTGGAAATGAAATAATTTACAAAAAAGTATCACTAAGATTATCATTTCTTGCAAACAAAATTAATAATATTCTTAATTAATCCTTTGTCCTTTTTTTATTTTCTTCCCTTCTTCCTTTTCCCTCGATTTTTTCCTTTCCCTCAATTTCTTTCTTTCCCTCAATTTCCTTATTTCCGTCGATTTTCTTTCTTTTAAAAATAATGGATTTTTTCCTTTATTTTTTTTTCTATATTTCTTAATAATCTATAATAATAATAATAATAATAATAATAATAACAACAATAATAAAAAAAATGATTTCAATAAAATTTAACAGTTTTTTAATATTAACAATTTTAATAACAATTTTATCAACAACAACAAATTTTGTTGATTGTCAACCAGAAACAGGAGTATGGCCTCCAATGGATACTCCCCCACCATTTGATGACTCCTGGGCAACAGTAGTTGACTTTACTGTAGTACCAGATGCTCCAGTTTCTACAGCGTATGGTGATTGTCCTGCCGTTGATACCTTTTGTTCATGGACTTGTACAAAATGCACTAAACCTGAAGATGTTGTCACCTGTCCTACTGTTCAAGGCAATTGATAAATTCTAGATTAATTTATTTAAATAAATAGATTAAATATAAACTTTAACTGTCTGTATACTAACCACTTTGTTAATTATCGACCAATCAATTTTCACAATTGATTAATCAATTAATTAGATTGGGCATTCACTTTCGATGACGGGCCTACGTAAGCATTGTTATTGTTATCGTTATTATTATTTACATTATTTACATTACATTATTAACTAAATTTGCTTTTTTTTTCTATAAATTATTATTTAATAGGACTGCCACTACAACATTACTTGATTATTTGGATACAATTAATGTCCATGTGACTTTCTTTGTTGTAGGTTCACGTGCGATAACCAATCCTCTAATATTAAAAAGAGCTGTTGATTCTGGTAAGTGTTTCTACTATTTATATATATTAAATATCAAATTACCGTGCACACGCCATAAACAATTATACTAATTAACTAATTTGTTAACAGGTCATCAAATTGGTATTCATACTTGGTCACACACAGCCTTAACAACTCAAACCAATGAAGAAATCGTTTCCGAAATCAAATGGACAGAACGTGCAATTCAAACCTATGCCGGCGTAACTCCTAATTTACTTAGACCACCACAAGGTGATTACGATGATCGTATTAGAGATATAGCCAGACAATTAGGCTACACAATCGTATTATGGGAATTGGATTCCTTCGACTGGATGGTTGTACAAGATACTACATATCCTGTTGAATATATCACCGGTAATTTCACTGCATGGGCCGACAACACTACAGCTACAGCTGGTCATATCACATTAGGACATGATCTTTATGAAGAGACTGTTGACTTGGCTCCCCAATATTTCCCTATAGTCACTGGCAAAGGTTTCAATGTTAAGACAGTTGGTGGTTGTATAAACAAACCAGACTTTAACCCATTAGTTAGTGCTACAACAACTACTGCCGACGTTGCCGCAACTACTACACCTGCTGCACCAACCAAAAGAAAACGCCAACTCTTTAAAAAAAGATTAACAGATATTTAAAAGCTAGAAGGACTTAAAAATATTTAATTTTAAATGATTTATTTATTTAATTTAATTATTATTATTGTATTTTATTGCCCATTTTTTTTATTAATAATGAATTCACGTGATACGCAAAAAATAAAATAAATAAAATTAATAATCTTCAATACAATAAATGATTTTCCACAATATTAATAGTTTCTTGAATTTTACAAAATCAATAAAAGAAAAAATATGATTGGCTGACTGATATATAAAAAATGAGATTACCTAATAAAAATATACAGTTAACTAATTGGAGCTTAATTAAGTATTATATTTTTATGATTTTAGAATTAATTTTTATGATTATATGTGATCATGTGATTCAATACAAAACTCTAAGAAATATATATATCCATCATATTAATAAGACTACTTCAAATGACTTTTATAAAAAATTTATGCCATTTAAAGATTGGATATTATCTTAGTTAACAGTGAATATCATTGATTTAAAAAGGTCAAAAGAATAGAAAAAGTGTTATGAATTTTTTGGAATTGATACTTCAAGTAAAGATGGCTCCTCAATTAATTGCGGCATATGAAAATTGAATTGTGGCTAATTGCGGTTCCTATATTTATCTTCAAGGGCTAAAGATATATTTTCTAGATCAGTTTTTGAGGATAAATGTAATTATATTGAATAAACTGTAAGTACCATGAAAATCAAAGAAACAGGAAATTAGACAATGAACCCACTTGTTGCAATAAGAAAAGTCCCCGATGAAGAATATTTTATTAAAGTCAAAAATTCTGGGCGTGCAACATATCGTTCTATGGTTAACAATATTAATAATGAACCTTATCGTTATTATAATAATTTAGAATGGTATGAAGTGTGAATATAGAAAGATATTTTTTAATATTCATTAAATAAATAATTAATTAATTAGAAGATTAAATGCACACACATTAATATGTATTTGTATATACATGTGTAGGAGATTACAAGCACATTACAACAAACTACTATTCGTTAAAATGTTGGCAATTCTCCTTTATTATTTTTTCTTGTGGATATTGTAACCATCAAAACTATAGAAAACGTTGAGATGTTCTGTATTATATCCACTAACTTAATCTACCAAGCAAATAACTTGGCAATTAACAAAAAATCGATCGAACGAACGTACTATTTGTTTTTATTCAATAAACAAGGAAACTTTGAAATGAAACTAGTTTAATAATTTAATTTTATATAATAATAATAATGATTATGATGATGATAACAATAATAATAAATAAAAGTATTAGTAGTAATAGTAATAATAGTAGTGATAGTAGTAGTAGTAATAAATAATTAAAAGATTTTTAAAATGAATTAATCAACATCAATTCTACTTGTCAATTAACAAACCCTCGTTCTATTTACCCAATAATCCAATTATCATATCCGATCCAATCTTAACCTGTAATCCACCACCCATCCAATTTAACTTACTTAACCTGCGCTAACGATTTCGCCGATTTAATCTATTACATGGATGTACACATCTATTTGAACAATAATACTTTTCACATAATTCACATCTCCTTGTGATTTGAGGGCATCTTTTGCAAATGAATAAACTACATGCATTACAAACTGTTGTTATCGAACAGTTTGAACATTTTCTAGCTAATCGATTACATCTCTTACATTCCTTAAAAATTTTATTGTTGTTTCTGTTGCCATCAGTGCCGTCATGATTACCACTGCTGTTTTTATTATTATTATTACCATCGCTGCTATTATTATTGCTATTATTATTACTATTATTACTATCGCTATTATTATTATTGTTATTATTATTGCTATTATTATTACTATTATTACTGTTGTTGTTGTTGTTGTTGTTGTTGTTGTTGTTGTTGTTGTTTCTATTAAAAGCGTAAGTGCAATCTTCTTCACCACAATAAAATGTGTAACAATCTAAACATCCTTTATCCAGATCACAACTCATGCAAAAATCTTTTAATTTCTTGCAATCGTTACATCTTATTGTGAATTTCAAACATCTATCAATGCACTTACCACATTTCTCTAGTAATGAAAAAAATTTCAAGAAATCAATTTCGAAGCTATCAAAGAAATTTAAAATTTTGTAATAATAATAATAATAATAAATAAAAACTGGGAACACACTCACTTATATCTAACTGTAAAGGTTTTCCGGATGATATAGGTAATTTTTTTAAATTATAGAAAAGTTTTGTGTATTCTTCTTTGAAATGCTGTATTCCAGATGTATTTAATTTTTGCATAGCAGGCAATCTGGTATCCATATCTTTACACCAGAGCACATTCAATTTTTGTAATTTTATGCTAGGTGTCAAAGGTTCAAACCAAGTCAATCCTACACCCAAATCCTTCAGCGATAGATTGGAACAACCACGTAAACTTATTTCTACCAAATTAGGAAACCCATTAATGGAATCCCACACTGATGTGCATTTAACACTAGTGAAATCTAAATTGATCACAGTTACTGCCTCATTCAATTTGTAATCAATCAACATGTTTATTAGTCGTTTTACAAAATTATCATCTATACGTTTTATTTTTTCAGGTAGTGGTTGATTATTTAAAAATGCTCGCTCTACTGTGATTTGTTCATCAAGATCCATGAAATCGATTTGACGCCATAAAGACGGATGAAATTTAACAACTGACAAGCCCCTACATGATCTTGATAATGCATGTAATGTATAAACATCAATGTGACTGCAAATATCAATTATTATTTCAAATGGTAAATCATTTAAATATGGCATTGTTAATTAATTAAATATATGATGTTATTATAATTTTATTGACTAATTAAGATTAATAATTTTGAAAAAAGAAAATATAAATATTTTAAAACAAATAGGTGGAAGGAAAAAATTTTAAAACAGTTACACCGATCAACATTTGTTCAACTATCAATAACAAGTACAGTTCACTCTCTCTATAACGGCCTCCATTTTATAACGCACTGGGAATCAGAACCCAAATTTTTACTATATAAAAAAACCTTACTCTATAACGGTTTTCTTAATTAAAATTTCCTATAGTGTATAACGGCCTGCCTCTGAAAATTCTCTCATATTAATATGTTTTATATGTTGTCTATAACGGCCGACGATCATGATCTGAGGCAATCATTACCAAATTAAGAAACTCTGTGTGTCACGCTCAATTATTAATATTAATATTAAATTCGAACGCGCTTATTGTCACAATACATTTATTATTGTAAACATAAATACATTTGTCAACATTACTTCATATCTATCATCACCCTTTGCAGTTACAATATATTATTCGTATTTGAATGATCATAAAAAAGAAGAATGTCATTATGACTTACTCTATGACTTTAATGTTAATTCATAAGTTTTGCTGTAATAATTATTTGTAAACATGACATAAGAAAAGCCAACCTCCTTATGACTTCATAAACATTCAACTTATATAAAGACCATATTTTACTTGACCAACAATCAGAATTGAATGAGGGACGATTTTAAATTTCATTTATTTTTTAAATATATTATATTTTATCGTATAAAATAAAAATCTTTATTATAATTTATCACATGACTATGATCTATAACAATCTCTCTCTATAATGGCCTTTGATTATTTTTTCCTTTTTTTTATTAATAAACAAAAGTTTTTTACAACAAAAAAGTTTAACGAACGTATTACATTAAAAGAAAATCATTACCAAATTTGGTCGTGAGATCCAAAATATTGTAACACGAAAATTATTGTATTCTATATCTGAGCATAACTTTCAAATTTAAAAAATCTATGGAAAGAAAATTTGAGACAAATTTTTTTTTTTAGATTAATAGACTCCCTTTTAAAGCTGAATGGTGGCGGGTTTTTTTAAAATCCAATGTGTGGATCACATAATATTTCAAAAATCTTAACTTTTGAGTATAGGTGATCTGCACTGTAGGAATCTGGTTTGATTCGATTCGAGTCGAATTACTCTAAAATTCTATCCGATTCGATTCATTCAGAGCCTTGGCTTTAATTCTATCGGATTACTTTTTTCTTTTTCGTCATGCGATAATCATTGACCGTTATAGATGATGTCCTGCACTATATTAACTTTTTTGCGTGTAATAATGCGCTAATTTTAGGGCTGGGCATAACTTTGAGGCCCAAATCCTCTACAACCATGACATATTAATATTAACAAATGAAATCGTAACTTTGTAGAGAAAGGTTTTATTTATTTTTGGATTTGAAGACCAATAAAAAGTTGCACTATAATATGATCCCGGATCGGTATTAATTATTATCACGCGTGATACTCAAACGCGTCCAACGTGACATTTAATTATAATGATATTTATTGAGAGAAATATAATAATGATTTGTTTGCAAGTAAAACATAAATAAATAACATAAATCACATAAAAATATGTTCTATGAAATAAAATAATAGATAAATAAATTGAATGTACAGGATTGAAAAATTATTTTAGAGTAAATATTTAATCCGATTATAATTAAATCCAATGATTAAATTACTTTTTTTTGCTATCATGCTTCTTTTTTTCGTATTTAGCTTGAACCTCTTTACGTTTTGTTGAATTACCTTTCCATTCATTTAACAATTTTTTCTCTTTACTAGTAAATCCAGCACATCTCTTTAGTGCCAATTTGATTTGATGTGACTCACTAAGTTCATAAACATTCTCCAACAACCATCTTACTTGCTCAGTATGTTGCAATTTTGCTGCTAATGATAACACTGTGTTATCTTCTTTATCAGTTGCCGTCACATCCACATTTTTATCAACCATTCTATCAACCAATAGCTCCAAACAAGTGCCCGGCCAATTAGATCTAATTGCTAAAAATAATGAGTTTGGTGCATGGAAATGTTCACCTGATAATTTAGCAACATCGGTTGGCAGGTTTGGATTTGCTTTATTTTTCAATAAGGTTTCTATTATTGGTATTTTGAGTTCATGTTCATAGTTTTCTTCCAAATAATAAGACAACACTGTTCTTGATTTGTTATCCAGTGCATTGACATCACATCCCAACCTTACCAAAACATCAATTGCCCAAATAACATATTTGCTTGCAATACTATCTTTAGTAGGCTTCTTCATTAATTTGATGTTTTCAGATAACATATGTAAAGCAGTTTTACCTTCTTTGACTGAAGTTCCATGAAAATCCGCATTACAATACTTCAAACATTCAAACATCTGGGTGATGGTCCTCCTTGGACAATATTTGGATGTGATGATTACTAGTTTTTCTTTTTTTAGGTCCATGAAATTATACTCACCTTCTACACTAGATCCTTGCTGAAGATGCCATAGTAAACCTTCAGTATCACCTAATGCTGCATGTATACCTGCATGACATTTGTCTGGTTTCATGTAATCTCGCATGTTTTCATGCTCTTCAGCAAAATTTTTTAATGTTGCATCACAAGTTTTCTTGTGAATAATACCTGCTCTTGGTGGCTGCACATACAAACGCACAATATTAATATTATATTATATTATTAATTATGAAATCATGTGAAATTAATTATTACCTCTTTGAAAAGTGATTGGTAGTCACTTGTGGTCATGGTATTTTGCATTTGTAAGTACGGATCAACTATCAATTACCCAAAATAAATAAACCAATGATTGATCAATTGATTAAATTAATAATTAATGAAATGAATTCATTTTACATAAAAAAAAAATCATACCTTGTTGAGGTGAGAGAAGATTTGCGTTGAGACTATTAGCTTCTTTATTTTGTGGATTTTGTGGTTGAGGTTGATATTGAGATGGAGGTGTTATTAATGGATTAAATGAATTGGAATTGCTAGTATTTGGATAAAAGGGATAAAAACCACTATTTTGTTGTTGTTGATTGTTATTATTATTAGGCGATGGATATTGATTGTAATTTTGTTGTTGCTGATGCTGAGGCTGTTGAGACTGTTGAGTAGGGGAATATGAGTTATAGTTTGGTTGTTGTTGTTGTTGTTGTGGAACTTGTTGTTGTTGTGGAACTTGTTGTTGTTGGGGAACTTGTTGTTGTTGAGGAACTTGTTGTTGTTGAGGAACTTGTTGTTGTTGAGGTTGTTGAGTAGAAGAATATGGGTTATAGTTTGATTGTTGTTGTTGTTGTGGAACTTGTTGTTGAGGAACTTGTTGTTGCTGAGGTTGAGCTGATTGTGCAAGACATTGGTTGTAATTTTGTTGTTGCTGTGGATTTTGTTGTGGAGAATATGTAGTATAAGTTTGTTGAGAATTTTGTTGTTGAGGATATGAAGGGTAGATTTGTTGCTGTTGCTGTTGCTGTTGCTGTTGCTGTTGCTGCTGTTGCTGTTGCTGTTGTTGTTGCTGTAGTGGGGGTTGTGATTGCTGAGATGTCTGTGGAAGATAACCACTGTAACTTGGTTGTTGTGGTTGTGGTGGTGGTGGATTTTGTTGTTGTTGTTGTTGTGGTGGTGGTAGTGGTGGTTGGTATGAATTATAATTTGGTGGTTGTGGCAGAGATTGTTGTGAAACTGTGATACTATATTGCTGTGGTTGTTGTGGTTGTGGTTGTGGCTGTGGTTGTGGTTGTGGCTGCATAGAATATGAGCTTTGTTGTTGTTGCTGATTTGATATTGGATAGATTTGATTATTAGGCAGGGGAGAAGGGTAATTATTATTTATTGAAGTTGATGGAGTTATGATTGGTCTAATTTGATCATTTTGATATTGATTTGATTGTTGATTTATATTTGGTGGTTGTGGATAGAATGAAATAACTATAGGTTGCATAGGTGGATAAATAGGAGGCATATTATTTGGATTTGTGGTATTTTGAATTGATGGCAATGGTGCAATTGAAGGTGTTTGGATTGTTGAAGGTGCTGGGATTGTTGGAGCTGTTGGAATTGTTGAAATTGTAGGAGTGATCGGAGCTTTTTTTTGTAAAGCAAGAAGTTTATTACGTATTTCATTGATTGTTGGACGTTCAGATGGGTTACCACTCCAAGCAAGTTCATAAATAGTCATATATTCAATAGGAGTGCCATCAATTGGAGCTTCTCTTTTGCCTTTCGTTACAACTTTTGCCACTTCAAATATTGAAGGATAATTGTTAAATGGGGGACGGCCACTTGACAATTCCCACATTAACACACCTAAACTATACACATCTGATTTAGTATCTCTTTTGTAATTTGGATTGATCAAACATTGTGGTTCAACATATCCAACCATCCCGCCCATTACTGATGTTGAATTCGCAGCTACCGATTTTGATAATCCAAAATCAGTAATCATCATTTTACCATCATGCACTAATATATTTTTTGAATGCTACATTGTAGATTAATTAATAAATAAATAAGTAAATAGAACTAATTAATTAATGAATTAAATACTCGAATAATAATGATCAGTAATTAATAGTTAATAAATAATGTGGAGCTTACCAAATCTCTATGCACAATACCACATTCATGTATACATTTTATTCCACTTGCAATCTGTAATGCCATTTTAAACTTAAGATTCCAATCAAGTTTATGAAAATTTTCAGCCAAGTAATCTCTTAAGTTACCACCATTTGCATATTGTAAAACCATAAAAAATGTATCTGACCTTGGATCTAATAAATCAATCAATAAAGTAGTAAATAAGAAAGCATATTATTTATTATATATAATAATTTGGTATTATTTTGTTATTGAAATGTTATTATTTTTTGTTATTATTGTATATTAAAAAATACCTTTACTGACACCATAGAAACGTATCACATTATCATGAAAATCAACAGTTCTTATTAGTTGAAGCTAAATTTTTTATATAGAAAAAAAAAATGATTTGCTTATTTTCATTACATACATATAAAGGGACTACCGTCACTTACCTCTTTTACAAACTCTTGGAAGGATTGACCGTTTTCAGATCCAGGATTATTATACAAGCTTTTTAATGCGACAGTTTTATCAGCACTTGACCAGTAGGCTCGCGACACCTCACCGAAAGCACCTCTTGCTACAGGATGAACATTTTGAAAGGAAACATACGGGATCAGAATTATATGTCCATCGTTGATGGCCTTTTGTAACCAATCTAACATGTTATCTTTAGACATTTTCAGAATCTTTATATATATATATATATGTTTAACTTTAATATATATATATTAAAAATATTTATTTTATTTTTATTTTTCAAATAAAATAATTTTGTTTATATAACAGTTTATTTATATAATCATTTGTACGACGTTTTGCAAATCATTGATTTCAATCAATTGACAATAAAAATGGCGACTTCAACTATTAGTAGTAATGATCGTGTCGCTTTCATTGGATTGGGTACAATGGGGTAAATTGATTAATCAATGTCTAACATTCGCAATAGAAATATTTTACTCATTCATTCGTTCGTTTATTACTCATTTATTTGTACAGTTATCCAATGGCTACTAATCTTCAAAAGTATTTAGCAGTAAATCAGTTTCCAAATCTGCTCGTTTACAATCGTACCTACTCCAAAGCCCAATCACTTGCAGAATCAGTAGGAGCAATTGCCACACAATCATTACAAGATGTTGCAGAACAAGCGAACATCATATTTACTTGTTTATTGAATGACCAAGCAGTCTCCAGTATTTATAAAGAATTGTTGAAATATTCTGATCCACGTAAATTCAACAACATTAATAACAGATCAGTAATTTTTATTGATTGTAGCACAATTTCACCACATGTTATTAATGAAGTGAAAAATGAAGTTGAAAAAATAGAAAATAGATTTCTACTTGCATGTCCTGTTTGGGGGCCACCAGCTAAAGCTCAGGTAATAAGAAAATGAGATAATTACGTGAATAGGAGGATGTGTATTGAGGGAATAGAGGGAGAAGAAATAGGGGAAGAAATAGCAAATTCATTATTATTATTATCGTTGTTATTGAATTATTCGATTATTAGAAAGCTGAATTAGTGGTTATTACATCCGGTAAACAATCAATCATTGATAAAATAATGCAATTACTTGTACCAGTTCTTGGAAAAAAAGCAATCCCAATTGGTAAATAATCTATATACTCATTCATTTATAAATATACGAGTGAATATTTATTTATTCAACCAATATAATATTTATAAAGGAGAAGATGTAACCAAAGCAGCAAAATATAAACTTGTTGGAAATTTTTTTATTGGGGGAATAATTGAAATGTTGTCAGAAGGATTAACATTTGCAGATAAAAATGATATTAGTAGAGACAAAATTATGGAATTTTTTGAAGAATTTTCATCTGATGCGGTTATTAAAGGATATGGTCAGTCACCACATCATAACAATACATATATAGATAAATAGACTTATGCTAAATTAACTTATTAGTTTAATTTATCAATTGATGATAGGAAAAAGAATGGTAAATGATACTTTTACCACAGATATCGGCTTCAGTGTTAATAATGCCATGAAAGATGTTAGGTGATAAATAATAGTGGAGTATTAAATATTGTTTTCATTAATTATTTAATTCATTAATTAATTTAATTTATTTGTTTAACTTTTAGACTTATGCGTAATTTAGCTGATGATTCTCAAGCTCAATTACCAATTGCAGATTTATTATTTCAACATTTATTAACATCAAAAGCAAATGGTGGTCAACATTATGATTGGTCTTCTGCTGTTGGAGCTTTAAGACTTGGTAAAACAAAATAGAATAAATTTTATTATTTGATTTATATTTCTATGTTCTACTATAATTAATTGTTGTTGTTATTATTATCATTGTTATTTTAGCTTCTGGAATTCCGTTTGGTGATGAGGAATTCAAAAATACCAAAGAAAAAAAAGAATAAAAATAAAAATATAAGTAAAAATAAAATAAAAATAATTGATTGTTTGGTTTTTTTTGTTTTTTTTTCAAAAAAAAATTTTTTTCGAAAAAAATAAAGAATATAAAAAAACCATTTTGAATTTTTGTTCTTGAGAACGGGAACGCGTGAATCGATATTGATATATATCAAAGTTTTTTTTAAAAAAAAAGTTTATATAATTCGATCCCGAACTAATTTGTTCTCTTTTTTTGTTCACATCTTTTTTTAATCATCAGAAACATCAATTTATAATTTATTTAAGGGCCAATAGGATTTTGTGGAATAATTTCATTGTAATGATTGGATGAATTTGGAATCTCGTGATCATGACAAACAACCAATAACGATCTCTTGCCAGCTCTACTTTATCAAAAAGGCTTCTTTATCAAAATCAGGTTAATGAGTCAAATCTCTTAAACAATATGAAATGAAATCATAGACATATTTAATTATTAGCAGTTAAACTTGGTAGAACGAATTTCTTTTATTAATCGACAATGTAAACCTTTATTATTGTTGACAAAGAACTAAAGATTTCTTAAATAATATAAATACAAATAACTTTTAAAAAAAAATATTAGAATTCTATTGGATGATAATTCGAATGAAATTATTATGGCGTAAAAAAGATATTTATTCATTGATGGGGTCTGATTCATTTCGTCGACAATCATTTCGTCGACACCCATTTCGTCGAAAGTTTGTTTCGTCGAAAGTTTGTTTCATCGAAGGTTCATTTCGTCGAAAATTATTTCGTCACAAAAAAAAACTTCATTAAACAACTTTCTCCTCGCACTTCCCACACACTCCGCTTTCCTCACCTAATTTCTTAACCAACTTCCCACACTCCTCACATCTAACTCGTTCGGTCTCTGGCTCGAGGATGAAATAATTTTCGACGAAATGAACATTCGACGAAACGAACTTTTGACGAAATGAACTTTCAATGAAACAAACTTTCGACGAAATGGGTGTCGACGAAATGATTTTCGACTAAGTAAACGCGACCGTTTTTTTTCAGCCACGTATCAATAAAATTAAACTTCACTCAATCATGCGAAATCCAACACGCGATTTATAACAAAGTTGTATTTTCACCAGGGCTGGCTGCGTAAAGGTGTTAAAGCCTTAATTTGTTAATAATTTGTCTTGACTAAATTGACTTAACACAATGATTAAAATAGTTTAGCCAAATGCTCATTTAGGTTAGCCCTGTTATGAGAATTTATGAAATAACAAAATTTATTTTGTGCGTTTTGTACAATCAAGTGTTCTATATATGTATTAAATATAAAATATTAACAAGTAAACCTTATTACAATCCAAATCCTCCCTATAGCTAATTGTGGCTTCATAGAAGGTCATCATTGCTGCTGCTGTCACACAGCTAGACATATCCTGCCACAGTTAAAATGGAGGCAGAAAGGTCAGTAAGTCTCCCTTATAAATGGTTCAGGTCTCTCTCCATAAGTGTTTGTGTGCAAAAAAATGTTCCTTGTGTTATGGGCAGCATTAACATCTTGATTCCAATGTGTCAGACATACTGATTTGCAGGCCCTGACAGACCAGAATTTTTGATGCTTATCAAACCACCCATCACACAAGGAACTTATTAATGTTCACCACCCTGCAGTGTCTAGAAAGCTCCTGGCGAAATTCTTTTACAGGGCCTGGAGCATGCCCACATGATGTTGATGAGAATTTACCATCACCAAATGCAACAACTGTGCTGTCACCATTGCTATTTGTTATTCTCTTGCACAGAATATCAAAGGTCTTCTGTTTATTAATAAAAGATTTCCATTGCAACTGATGCCAGCGACATTCACAATAAAAATCAAGAATTATATCAAGATAAAACAGAATGTAAGCAAGGTAAGAGCCATATTCATAGACAT